CCCACAGTTTTGTACGCATTTTTCTGATAATTTCCATATTTTTTCAGCCGTATAGCTCAAAAACCCGATTTCAGGGCTATTTTGACTGGACTAAAGTACGCGCATGTGTGGAAATAATCCCACGTCCTGGTATCACTGGCGCGAAATGTTGCAATTTTTGAAAATATTTTCAGTATAAACTGTAATACCAACAGGATGATGGTAAATTGGAGCATGCATTGAACTTGTCGATAAGACAGTAAATATTTTTTTGTTTATCATTTTATGCAATTTTCGAGAAAAACTATTTCTTTTAATTTTAACCTAATATCGCATTACAATTATATTTTTAATTTAAAATATGTTCATCTATACATTTAGCAAAATGTTTAATTAGTTTATATTTTCTAATCTTTTCTATAATAAGTAGAAGTATTGTTTATCAAATCTCTCTCTCTCTCTTTCTCTATCCTCTCTCTCTTTCTCTCTCTTTCTGTCTCTCTCCTCTCTCTCTCTCTCTCTCTTTCTGTCTCTCTCCTCTCTCTCTCTCTCTCTCTTTCTGTCTCTCTCCTCTCTCTCTCGCTCTTTAATAATTGCTCTTTGAATTTAATAGTTTAATAAAATCTCAAATATTATTATTACTCAATAACCCTTTAGTCACGTGACTGATATATTAATGCTGATATGTGCTGAACCTAATCTAATTGTAAGAAGAATAGTAGATTATAGAGTAACTGAATCCATGAACTATCAGGTTATATTGATTATATTTCATATTTTATACTTTTGTTTATTGTTTCTATGGTTTAACACCTACATTTATTAATTAAATTAACATTTCCTAAAGAAAATTATTATATTTTCATAACCTGTCATTTTCTTTCATATGCATATATTATATTTTAAATATAATTCTCCGTAACATTGATATACTATTTTTATATTTGGTCGTACAGTTCCCCCCAGCACCTTGTCATCATACGTACTTTGAAAATATTTTTGCATCAAGTGATATTTGCACTAAATATTAACATTCATGAATGATTGAATAAACAAAGTTTAATCATTCGCAGAAGATTATCAAGGTTTACAAGTGAAAGTTTCTCTACTAAGATGTTTTATCGAATAAGTTATCATATTAATCTTGTTAAACGATAGTTGCCAAATATTTATTACGAAATCTTATTGTGTAAAATAATACTAGTAATCTTGTCGTGTATTACTGATGTTATTAAATGCGCGATTAAAATATAATTAGCATCGTATTATTGAGGTTAGAAAACTAGTTGACTGCTAGATTAATTGTTACTAATAAAAAAGTTTTTTTAATTTTTCATTTAAAGTTTCTTGATTAGAAGCATATACAATATAATATTACAGTAATATCAAATATATTCAAATAAATTTATAATATGACATACCTTTTTTCTCTATATTTTCAGATCTATGAGAATTCAGATGAAATAATGAGATATGAGTAGATATTTTCTGTAATATAGAAACGAGATATGCAGGATCAAATAAAAGAAAGACTTTTACCTAATTTTCTTGCAACATTTGGATCTAACTTACAAATCAACGTTGAAGATGTCCGCTGTGGAGGCACCGCCTTTTATTCGGACCATAGAATGGGATATGATGGACAAAACAAAGTTCTTCCCATTGAGTATGCTTTCCTCCTTCTCTGTAAGATGTTGTCTTTATCCTCTTACTGTAATAAAAACCCGACTTCAAATACAGAGACACAATGTCATGTATAATGGTAAGTATTCAATACAAGGAGCCTCTGTTTTAATCTAAAAAGAAAAAGACAAATTCAAGATTCTTTATGGATCTGTAAATTTGTATTACATATAATATATCTAGTCTAACAACACAGACATTACTTAATAATAATTTATGTTAATTACAGGAATGATAGATGCCTGTAAAAAAATTTATAATCTAGAAGGTTTTTCTGGGCTCTACAGGGGTTTTTGGATAAGTTCTATACAAATTGTATCCGGAGTATTTTACGTATCAACTTATGAAGGAGTACGTCATTTGTTAGGAAGAGAAACTCTTACTTTTCGTATAGATTCTCGTGTAAAAGCATTGATTGCAGGAGGTGCTGCTAGTTTAGTAGCTCAAACAATAGTCGTACCATTTGATATCCTTAGCCAACATCTAATGGTTCTCGGGATCAATAACAAAAGTAATAAAGTTTTTATAGATAAGGTGAGTAAACGAAAATATGGACCGATTAATATATTTACTAATAAGTTCAATATCATCATGACAGTTAGGAATGAATCCACTTGGTTTAAAAGTAGAGCCTGGAAGGTCACGTGCTCACATATCCATAGAAGTTGTAAGATCCATATATCATAGAGATGGCTATAGAGGCTTCTATCGTGGATACATAGCATCTTTATGCGCATATGTGCCGAATAGTGCTCTTTGGTGGGGCTTGTATACGGTATATCAAGGTAATCATTCATCCATTTTATAAGAATTTTTTACTATCTATGTAATGCACTGACTAATACCTACTAATTTCCTTCAATTGATTTTTATAGATGAACTTATAAAAATATTTCCAATATGGTTTTCACACTTATTCATTCAGGCAGTGGCTGGTACACTTGGTGGTTTTACAACAACTATTATTACAAATCCTTTAGACATTGTAAGAGCAAGGTTACAAGTACAAAGATTAGATAGTATGATTACCACGTTCAAGATTTTGTGGATCGAAGAAAGACTTAAAATGTTTACAAAGGGCTTATCTGCTCGTCTTGTTCAATCGGCATGTTTCAGTTTTACGATAATATTAGGATATGAAACTATTAAGAGAATTAGTATTAATGAAGAATATAAAAGTTTTATTAGATGGTGAAATTTAAAATATCCACTTGTAGAAATGTACATTTAGATGAAATCAAATGCATTTTATTTAAAAATACATATGCAAACGCACAAATGTGCACATAAACTTTTCTAAAAGAGAAGGGAGGTAAATATACAAAAACAAGTTTAAGTTGCTTCGTTGATTGGGAGAATCTACAAAAATATTTTCAACACCTAGTGTGAAATCAATGAGATGTTTAAAAAATTAAACAAGGAGTTGAAAGTTAATTTTAAGTAGATTAAAAATCGCAAATATTGAATCATTCATGGCACAAATCTACTAACGTAACATACTAACGTAAACGATCAGCTATATCAAAAGTTTTCCTTCATAATATTAATCTAATCAGATCTCATATTATTGATATTTGTTGAATTTAGGAGAATCATTTTGCCATAGAAAATCTATCACTACGATATGTTTAATGTCTTGTGATAGAGAGAAATAACTTTTATTTAATATTATATTTATAACATATTCACATTACTACAGTAATTTAGAAAAACAAATCGCAATAGAAAATATATGTGGATATACAGTGAGTATCACTTAAAATCATACACTATTAAACAATTAGAAGACAATTTAGAAATAAATACATTAATATATTTTTATCAAATATTTAATGAATTTTTCTTGAAAGGATTATTTATAACAAATAAATTAATCAAATATAAAACTAATATATATATACAGAGAGAGTAAACTGCATTAAACGTAACTGAAAATTCTACGTGTTGGTATAACTGTAAAAATAGAAGAAATACTTGTTTTTTCCGCATTTAAAAGTTGGTCGTCCTTTGTTTTCAAGATTATTTAAATGTTTTTTTTTTTTATTGTAAGAATCAATTTAATATGCATTAAAGTAAAAATAATAATAAGTACATTCGTATTAATATTAAATCATTCATAACACAAGTCGATTATAAAAAATCATTTTAATTCGATATTTTATGGAAGGTAAATTTTATTATATACGCAGGTTTATAATTAAGTAATATTTAAACAATAGTACATTTATTTAACCATTGAATGTCTATTACTATATTTGGAATATTAAACAATTTCGATCTGATATTTGATTAACAATTATTTTAATACTCTAATACACTTTACTTATATTACAGGAAAATTTTACCCTCGTATTCATGATTGCGCAGGAGCATTGAAAAAAAAAAAGTACTAGAATCAGAACATTATAATCTTGAATTCTATTTATTACGAATATTGTTTTTGATATCACATATATAGCCTTAGGATAAGTCATATAAACAACATTCAATAAAAGAACTTTCACAGAGGACAATGTGCCAGTCTAACGATGAATTTCAAAGAGGACGGTACATCCAATTTATATTCGGTGCTTTCAAACTACAATATACACTTCCTTCGATTAATTATCAATTAATTAAGGTAAATCGTACACAATACTATAATCTACTAATATTTTAGATTGTTTAAACTTTTAACGTTTCTGAGACCAGTGATAACTTTGAGTTGAACATTTTTATCTAATCAAATATCAGATCTAAATTTGCTTAATATTCAAAATACATTAATAGATATGTAATTTTTAAACAAATGTACTTTGTATTATTCTTACTTAATGGATATTGAACTGATTATAATATTATAAAATATTTGAGCTTTTTATTTTTAAAATAGCTAAAATTCATTTATGTTATTGGTACACATTTGTGTGATTCATTTGTTTAAAGTTTTCAAATTAAATTCATTAAATATGTAATAATAGTATACTAATGTTTGTATTTCTAAATTGTCTTTATCTTAACATACTGTATCAATAGTTTACAAGCAAAGTTCTAATAAACTAATGGTGTACAATTTTAAGTAGAACTCGCTGCAGTTGTAAAATAGATAGACAAATAATTATTTAATATGAATAAAATATCTACAAAAGTATCATGTTAAGCATACAGTATATTTAATATAAACTGCTATGAAATATTACCAAAAAATAAGTATATATTTATTACCGATAATAAGCACAATATTTTGATTGGAGGGTGGCATTTAAATGCCTTACCTGGCAAACATTGATTTTTTGAAAAAATTAATAAATACTTGTAATTTAAATGAGTTATTTCTCTATAATTAGATAGTTTTTATTAACTTTGATGGTCTCATATTACCCCTTAGAATCTATAGAATATTTCAAGTGTCTTAATGTTTGTAATTTATTTCAAGAAGATAAATTAAAAAACGAAAAAGAAATTAGTTTAAAACTGTGCATATATATTCCACCGTTATTCAATGATATCTAAAAAATCCCGCCAGTGGGAAGTTCGCTCCTATTGGTGAACACGCATGTAGACCATTGTGAATAGATTAATAGAGAGTAGATTTTAAGTAAAAAAAATGTTACCAATAATATTCAAAAGGAATAATCGCGATAGTTAAGTTTAGCAAGAAAGTGGCGCTAATAACGCTATTAGATGAAACTAACGGTCAATTTGTAATCGCGAAAAAGGTGTGACTACTGATTGGCCGCATCATCGGCAAGTGGCGCTAAAACCGTTGCTCAGAATTGTTCGATCGACGCCACGATTATTAAACCAAACCAGCAAGATCTTTTACAAAAAGATGTTTTTTGAGAAGAAAAAGCGACAAATAAGAGGAATTAGGCGTGAAGAGTATTCTGCACAGTGAAGAGAAAAACGTTCGAAAGGTTTTATACATCCTTTCTCTCTCTCTCTCTTTCTCTCCCCCTCTGTCCCTCCCTCCCAACGTCGATCGTTTTTACAGGAAGCAAAGAAAGAAAGGGGGAAGGCAAGGCAAGGGTAGGGAAGCAAGGCAAGGCACCGGTCGTCGCAGTGCGGCGGATATATCACGCGAGTCGTGACAAATCGGAGAATCGTTTCTCGAGTAATACTACTAACAGAAATGGCAGAGGAAGAGGGTGCGTCCTAACTGTGATTTTTTGTGTGCGGCTGATTCTGCATGCGATGCCCCGATTAATAAACGACCAAGACTATACTAACATCGAGTACACTAGTACATACAAGGGTATTGTCATATTTGTCGATAACACGAGAAAACATTAATGCGTTTGTGCATTTTCACCTTTGAACTATTTTATTATTGGAAAAATCTAACAAACGTTTTCGACGCGAACAAAGTTCGTGCGAGAAACGTAATCATAGTATAAATGTTGTATGAATAATCGCGTAAGCGGAAAAATGCCCGCATCTCGTGGAGGCATGGTGCATGGTGTTATGCCACCGCACTACCTCCACGAGTTGCCGGCACAAGACGAGGAACGGCTCGAAAACATATTCAAAAAGCTCGATCTCGATGGAAACGGCAGAATCGACGTGCACGACCTTTCAAAAGCGCTTCACGAGGTCGGTGTCCACCAGCGGTACGCTGAGGTAATCCTTTCTTTTCTTTTCTTTTTCATTTTTATGTAAACTGACGATCTCGTCGCATTTTTACCTGTTCACCTACTTTGTCTAGTCATCGTCCAAAAAGCCTAATTAATAACATTTATTTCACGTTATTTAGCTTGAAATTTCCTTACCGGCATTATTTTCTTATCGCAATTATTGTATCCACGAGGGAAATAGGTCAAGCGCATCTTTGACATGCACACATGTAACTACATACATGTACAATCTGCTTACTTAACATTCGATACACTTGACAGTCTAGCATTTTATGCAATATTGTATTTCTATGGTTTCTTCGCCTAGAGATAAACAAGAACTAATCGCTCCAGTATTACGTCGCGTCGATCCGTCAGGATTAAGCCTAATCAAAACTTTATCCATTTTCTTCTATTTGAATAAAAAATAAACTGCTTTTAAAAACTTCATTTCATCTACATTCCACGTCATTGCAAATAAGTATTTTCATATAATTTATATTGTATAGATAATGTGCACATGTAATATATTGTTGTCATTTTCTTTCAGAAATTCCTTGCCAGATCGGATAGCACAAAAAGCGGTGACATCAGTTTGGCAGAATTTATACATTATGTTCGTGAGCACGAAAAAAATCTTCGTCTTCAATTTTCTGATCTCGACAAAAATAGAGACGGTGAGTATATTATACAATAGAACTTTATTTTACATTAGTATTTAAAGAATTTTTAATAATTATCTATAGTCGTACAACGAACGGTCTCTTTCGTTGTAACTGTCATGTGCCAATTTATGCTCTTAACATTTGACCAAACACTTTTTTCCTTTTTCTCTTTTTTAAACTGTAATGCCCTTGCGAGAGAAAAGATTGATCTTGTTTTATCGAGTATGCATCTATTTGCTCGATTAATAAGCGATTTTGTATCCAAAATACCTAATGACTGATTTGATCTATACAAAAATCGATCTATAGACAAGTAAATTATCTTCCGGTAATGAAATAAATCTATTCATAAAATAAATTTAAAAATCTGAATACAAACTGCTTACTGATTCGTGTCATTTTATTCATAGGCAAGATCGATCTTGAAGAGTTGATAAGAGCATTTAAGGACTTAGGCATAGAAATGGAACGTGGCGAGGCAACCAAGTTGCTACAACGGTAAGATGTCCTATGTTACAAATTAGTGTGACATATTATTAATGATCTATTGTGTCGTTAAACTAAGTTAGACCGTTACCAATTTTGGACAGTATAATCCTTTTATTTCTCTTTAATATTGATTCACAGAATGGACAAAGATGGAAGCCTCAATATAAGTTTCAACGAGTGGCGAGATTTCCTCTTGTATGCACCAAGCACCAATATCCATGAACTTATACAATATTGGCGACATTCTACCGTAAGTATTTTCTAAGGTTCTAAACAATCTTATATTTTGTTATTGGACAAACTAAACAATTGCATTGTACATATATAAATGCATATGCATAAAATGTATTATTATGATTCATAAATAGAGCGTTTTCGAAAGCGTCGCGTTAACGCATTACTCGTACATAGTGTACACATAACAATCGTCGTTTCGTCCAATCAAAACTCAACGTGGTAGGGGGAATAGTTTGACGTGTACCATAAACATGATCGTCTTCAATCTAGGCCGCCGCTGATTCGTCGACGAAGAAGGCTCGACCGTAGCTATGACGTAGAGGATCGTCATTAAGTATGACCTTCCTCGTCTCCAGCTGTTTCTCCCTTTCTTTCTTTCTTTTTTTCTTCCTTCCTTCCTTCCTTCCTACCTACCTTTTCTTCCTTCTTTTTCATACGTATCATCTGCATATATATATATTTTTTTATCCTCCATGCATCGGATGTATCAACCGTTTCGATGAACTCACATACTCGAGTTTGTTGAACTTTAAATATCATACAGCTAAAAATCGTACAACATTGATTTCTTTTGCAATCCTAAACGATTGTACTGCTAATATTTTGTTCTAATCATTCAGAATTATATGTTCAAAATGTATTCGAAAACAAAAATTGTTTTTTACGTCATAGTGTTGTTATCGTCATCGTCGTTCGTCGTCGTCATCATCGTTGTTGTCGTCACTCGAACGTGAACTTTAAACATGGCTGATTAAAACGTCTTATTATAATTATTATTTATTGCTATTTACTTTACAGCGTTGAGTGATACGAGTCTATTTATTCTAATTAAAAATGTCTCGATGATCAAAGCTTAATCATTATTTACATAATATTTCAAAACAACTACTGGGTTTTTCTTTTTTTAGGAATAATGATTACACAAAGGTTGAGACAAAAGTCGAAATTACGTGCAATTATGACGGCATTTAGCGATAACGTATAGAGGAAATATGTGTACAAAGAGTTCTTATGTCTCTATATTTTGTTTTTTGTCGTTCACAGTACAACGGAAATCTTACTTAATTACGTCATGAATGAGATAAGAAAGAGGTATTAAATTGAGATAAAAAATGTTTCATTTGTTAAAAATTTTGACATTATAGGAAAATAAATATAAATAATATTTATACAAAGTGATGAAATTATTCCTATCGTTTCGTCAGCCATTTCTAAAGCTATCGAGGTCATCCCCTTGCGTAGCTTCGGGTACTTCCAAGTGACGTATTACGCATATCTTGTACTTTATTCCAATACAATTACCAATAATTAATTTATGTCTATATGATTATTCATTATCATATCTTTTCTCAATTCGAATTGTATAGAATTAAATAGAATTTTAATTGTTTAAAACTCTTCTCTTTCTCATACTTTGGAAAATTGGATAGAAACATGTACATCATGCATACATATGTTTCTTTCAGACAAATGAAAAGATACAGCTGTTATATGACCAATGATTATCCATGAACAGGATACGAGTGAAAGGAACCTTTGATCTCATTTTATCATATATTATAAATTATTTATCATATATCATAAATTTCTTGCAAAATATTATAAACAACCGAATTTATACTGACTTAACTGAATACTTTAGATAAAAAAATAATTTAGTAATCTCGTTTTACAGATCAAACTAACGCGGGAATTCTCAAAGGAGGATTTAAGAATACTTTTACAACGTGATAAATAGAAGAGATTTCTAGACGAATAAATGAATTTCTTGCTCGCTGCATGTCGTTCGCTTCAACTCCATTAGAATCCTTAGATTCGATCGTCTACATAGGAGAAAAAAATGAAATTCAAAGTTTAACTTAGCTTATAATATCTGACCCAAGTGGAATTTCATTCCGACTATATTAACAGCAGACAAAGTGGCGAGGGAAATGTGCGTTCAGATCTCTCTCTCTCTCTCTCTCTCTCTCTTTCTCTCTCCCCCCTCTCTTTTTCTTTCAACTCAGTATCCGCCAGTATGTCGAGAGTCGTTAGGAAAGAGTAGGGATAAACGAGAAACGAAGAGTAGGGATTTCTCGGCAAAGCATGTGATCAACTTCCTTTCTATAACTAACGTAAGCCTCAGTCGCGACGAGATCGTGCTCAGTGTTGTAAGATTGTTTCTTCTGGTCAACAATTTTGCAATTGCTTTCTCGATCGCTTCTCAATTATATTAACAATAAGAAGAAGAAGAAAGTGCAATACTTGTTAATACTTGTAAACGGTTGTTAATTTTGATTCATTTTTTGTATTATTTTTAACAAGATATTCTCACATGAAACCTAAAGATTATCACAAGGGATTCGCCATGCTAACACAAGAAAGTATTCCATCCAAGTATCAAGTTTGTGAAGACTTTCTTCAAGGCTATCATGAGCTTTTACAACGAGTGAGTGTTTCTTCTGTGTACTAAGAGTAACGTACTTAGCGCCGAATGCTTGTAGAGGTGAAAATAAGAACTTTTCGAAGAATGTGCATTTCTATGGTGTGCCACCAAATGTAGAAATCGGTGAAAGCTCCATGGGGATTATTCTTCTTTTTCTTTGCCTCAATGTAAAATATGTGAACCTAAAGCTACCCGTGTAATCTCGTTTACTGCCCTTTTTATTCACCATCAAGGACGACTTTACGAATATATAACTGTAAACGTTCTAAGAGAGATTTAATTGACTGTTATCCATCCCCCTACTCTTCAACGTCTCTTAATATTTTTGTTATCTTATAGTTTATGCGAAAAATGATGGATATTATATTCATGACTCACGATATTACTTCCAGATTGTTCTGTACGGATAGCTGTAGCTAACACGCGTATCGAATTATACGTCGGTCATTGATAGCAGACAGGTGATATTGTTATCCGACACTTCATCTCGATTTTCTTTCGATATTATTACATGTTTACAATACTTTACTTCATTGTTTGCTTTACACAAAGTTTGTAATATTTAAAATTAATTTATAAATGTTCACATGTGTTCTTGAACGTTTCAACCTTTTTTTGTAGCGTTTTCTTTTGCCCGGATTTCAAGCAGATTTGAAATAATCGCTCGATTCATGTCTACAGATATATTTGCCAAAGATAGTAGGATAGATAGGTAGATACTTGTATAAAGACAGAGAAAAAGAGGGAGAGAGAGAAATAGTTAGTTTGTTAGTTAGTGAGTTGAATTAGGAAGGTAGAAATCGACATTGGGCGTAACACCAAGTAATTCGTTTTTGGCCATTCGCCCGTTACCGTCACCATCATGAAAGATTTGACTTTCAAGTTTCGTTCTTTTTAGTCGTCATTTGAATGTGCTTTGAGCTACTCTATTTTTCTCGAGAGATTTCATTTCTTTTTGTTTTTTTTTTGTTTTTTTTTTTTTTTTTTTTTTTTNTTTTAACATTAAAAGAAGGAGGGAAGAAAAAGAAGAACTCAGTATGGAGAACCTTGATAATTTGGATAGTGATATATTACTCGAATTCTACTTAAAGTTAAGTACTACCCTTCAAGCTCGATTAGGAAACAAGCCAAGTGATTTTCTTCTAGCTACATCTCACAGAGTCGTATTATATTTTATTTCCATTTATGTGAGAAAAGATAAAAGCTTACATTTTGTATTTTAATATAAATGAAAAAATAACGAGAACGGTGTCACCCCTAATATGTATTTGTGTGACTAAACGTATAAATGAAAAAAGTATACGAATCACGTGGTGGTCACAAGCAGTCAATCACGCGTGCACTTGGATCAACAATGAAGATTCTTTTAAACATTTATGTCTCGTCTAGACTTTTGTCGAATTTTCGTATATTTACTAATTGCAAAACTCTAACGATTCAATTTGCTAATATGAATAATTTATCAAAATTTCTCAATAAATTTGTAAATAGATGTCGGCCTTCAAAATGATTACTTGAATGACTCCTTTTAGAAATTATTTTTAAATGTCAAATTTTATATAACCAGCGATTTCTTTTATATTACCTTACAACTAGAATAAACATCTTCCATCGAGACAATGTGTAATAATATATACTATCTTAAATTTATATTAAACTATAGTTAACATTTAGCCGACCGAACGCCCCACAGAGACCCCTACAGTTTCCACCACGTTCGGAAAGGCCAAACTGCGCTCCTCCACCGTGCATTTTTCTGAAGTAGTGTTCTAGAAAATAATTTTATGGCTGGCAAAGACTCCATCGGAAATCCCGAAAATAAAGAGCTGTAATAATAAGCAATGAAAAATTTCAAAAATTGGTGCATTTGATTATATGTTGTACCCTATATAAATAAACTCTATAGAGAAAGAAGCGTTCCTCAGATGAAAAGGGTAGATCTACCCGAGCGGCCGGCAACCGACTACCTTGGAAAAGGGTAGATCTACCCGAGCGGTCGGCTAAGTGTTAAATAGAAAGTCAGTAAAATGAAATATTTATCTTGTTTCTTTTCGAAAAAAAGGATGGAAAGTGAGAGAGAAGAATTGATGAGAAGAATAGTGACAAGATGACACTATTTTGGTACGATTTTAATCAAAAATAGCGATAGAAATGGGAAGAGATTTTGTACATTAGGTTTATCTTATAATTAGTGCAATAAACGAAACGGTCATTATGTGTAATTTATTGAAATTTTTCTTCACAATTTATATGGTTTTCCATTTACGATCGTCGGAAATGACCCTTTCGGTTAGTTCATTAAATACTAATATTATAAATAAGGAAGACTATGTAGAAATAATATACATTATACATTATACACATATACACATTATGTACATGCACGTATCTTCTATTATCGGATTCTTGAATTTTACAGTACATGGATATCGGAGAGGATATGGGAGTTCCAGACGATTTTACGAACAGTGAAATGGTCTCAGGAATGTGGTGGCGACATTTATTAGCTGGCGGTATCGCTGGTGGAGTTTCACGAACATGCACAGCACCTTTGGATAGGATTAAAGTTTACCTCCAAGTATGTTATTTTTACATTATTAATCTTGTTTACTTAATTTATTATTCATTTGGTACGAATCAAAGGTAATTTAAATATTAATAAGAACATAGATAAAGCATACGACTCTATTATTTTAGGTCCATGGAACACGGCATTGTAACATTACCAGTTGCTTCAGGTACATGTTACGCGAAGGTGGCATTATAAGCTTGTGGAGAGGAAACGGTATAAACGTACTTAAAATAGGACCAGAGACTGCCCTAAAGTTCATGGCCTACGAACAAGTAAAGAGAGCTATCAAAGGCAATGACACTAGAGAACTTGGACTCTATGAGAGATTCGTGGCTGGATCTATGGCCGGTGGTATTAGTCAGTCTGCTATATATCCTCTCGAGGTACAAAGACTATATTTTGATCTTTTAGAATTTTCTTTTTATCACAGTATTAATCGAAATGAATAAACCATTTATCATTTATCATCGTGGTTTTCACGTTTCAGGTACTCAAAACGAGACTGGCCCTTCGTAAAACGGGTGAGTTCTCGAGTATAATCGATGCAGCGAATAAGATATACAAGCAAGGTGGTTGGAAATCTTTTTATAGAGGTTACATTCCCAATTTAATTGGAATTCTTCCTTACGCTGGAATTGATTTAGCTGTATACGAAGTAAGTGCATGTTCTTCCTAGTTTCAATTGATAGGAAGATATTTATTTGTTCACTAGATTTCTCCTATTTGACACAAATTTCATAAAAAATAATAATAACGACGTTCATCATTTGTTTGCAGACACTGAAAAATAGTTATTTACGAACGCATAAGAAAAACGAGCAACCAGCTTTTTGGGTGCTTTTGTTGTGTGGTACAGCTTCCAGCACTGCAGGTCAAGTATGCTCGTATCCATTAGCTCTAGTCAGAACTAAATTGCAAGCCGAAATATCAACGGGAACTGATTCAAATACCATGATCGGAGTTTTCAAAGATATTCTTAAGAGAGAAGGTATTCGCGGTTTGTATCGAGGAATAACTCCGAATTTTCTTAAGGTACGATTTTAAAATCTAAACCACACATATATTCTCAAATCTTCAATTAGACTAAATAAAATATTTCTTATTCTAGGTTGCTCCGGCTGTATCGATTAGTTATGTAGTATACGAGCATTTCAGACAGGCACTTGGTGTTAACATGACGTGATAAATATACACATTAGGAGATATTAATTTAATTAAATTATTCCCTAATTATAATCGTGTAAGAGATATTTCGGTAAAAGTTCGAATGACCATCGGATTTGCACCTTGTGTAATTTACCGTTACCAGTCTCTCTATCTATTTATCTATCTATTTCTCTCTCTCTCTCTCTCTCTCTCGCTCATTTTCACTTACATTGCTTATTTATTAAAAACTCGAAGCTTCTCCGTCATGCAGGTTATATTCAACAATTATTGAAAACAAGGAAAAGGAAAATGAAACGTTAGTCAAACGTACAATTATCGAATAAGGATATAAAAAGCTGACGGAAATGATAGAAAAAACAAAAACAAAAGAAAGAAAAAAAACAGAAAAAATATAGTTGACAATACAAGTGAAATTGCTGTAGGGAGTGGTGCATTTGTAAGACGTTATTTATCTTAAAACAAAGAAGCAAGTCAAATACTTTGTTTTATCTTATAGTAAATTTGCTTTTTTCATGAAAAACCTTAAAAAAAAAAAAGAAATATCTATATTCATATAGTTCGCCGACTTTCATTGAAAAAGAAAAAAAAAAGAAGAAACCAACAGTACAAATTATTCTGTTTGTGTTAAAAAGTATTAGTATGATGTATAATAATTAATTGACTTTTTATGTTTTGGACAAATTTATTATATTTCATTATTTTAAACATCTACAAATGTTGACAGTCAGTATTGATACTATAAAAAGTCAGTTCCTTTTATGTACATGTTTATTTCTATTGGTTTTCTTTCATTTCCTTTCATTTCCTTTATTGTGCTATTAATAATCTCCCTTGAAATAAAATATTATCAAAACTTTTTTTTTTTTTAAAGTACATTTAAACGTTACACGAGAGATGATTCTGTGGTTAATAAAAGAATCCAATTATGTTAATAATATTAATTATATGCTGTGATAAATATGATTATAAGCTGTGTTTATGATTCAACGTATAACAAGATTATGAATTAGAGAAAAATCTCAAATATGTGAACGTTGTTGAGTTAAGTAGAAATTATTCATGATGTATTATTATGTCTTACATTGAATCATATAGAACAAAAAATATGTCTCAGTTTGTACTAGTGTATTGATTTATTCGTCGAGCTTAGTGCTCCTCTTTATTTATAATTTCAAATGCAACACACACATTTGTTCCAACATTTCATTCCCTAATTAATAATTTTTCAAAAACAAGCTGTGTATATTATATGTATTATAAGCGTGTACAATTAAATATTATATGAAAGTGCAGAAAATGTTCTTCTACATTAGAGGGGCGTCTGAAAAAAAAAGGATATTTTAAAGACAGCTCAACAAATTTGTTCTTCCTATACTTGATATTCATATCTTCAGTTACTTCAGTCGTCGCCTTAGTTTCCTTGTTTTCCGCCTGTTTATTTTATCCTTCGGTAATTACTCATGGAAAACGAGAATTAGGGAGGAGAGTTTTAATAAGACTGACTGAAAGGAAGTTAGAGCTCGTCGGTTTACTGTTGGTGAGAGCATCTATATATGTTTTTATATTTCTGCTTGTTTGTTCATTTGAACGTGGAAAATAATTGAAAAACAATGATTAAAATCTCGAGGCATGACACAGCGAGTTTTGCGTAAATACCTAAATAAAAAAAATCAATGTTAGTCTTATGTACGAAAAATAATGTAAACAGAAAAAAAATGTGCTTCAATTTATTAGGCTGCTTTAGTTTGAATACAGGCTGTAGCATTTACACAGTGCAAACACTTTATACGTGTGAATATTGTTATCTTTAAATAATAATGTAATTATTGCATATTTATATGTCTATTGTAAAAATCATTGAACAAAAAATCGAAAGAAAAATGATTTTGTTAAAAATGTAATGCAGAGAGAATCTTAACACTTTTAAACGATTAGTATATTAATATTTTTTTAGTACAATGAAACTGAGTTTGATTGTTAATGAAGGTTGCGACGTAAGATTAATTGGTTTACTATTTATTTTTTTTTTTTATTCTTTTTTTTCGTTCTTTTTATTTCATTTTATTCATGTACACCGGAATAACTATTTTTAGTAAAAATAAATATAATTTACAAATAATTAGAAACATTTGGTTCCTAAATGGTCCGTTGGTAAAATTTTTGACTTACGGCGAGAGTGCAATTCGTAAATATACACATATTAAATCGTGTTATTTCTTTTTACAAGTTATATGCAGAGATGTATATAGATATTATCTCCTACTATTTAAAAATGATCATATATGTACGAACATACGTACATATATATATAAATAACCAAAGAATATTATTTGTGATCTGTCAATCAAATACAATGCCGTTTACCTCAGTAATTTTCATTTATTTCACTTAATTCTGTATCCAAATAGTATTATGATTATTATTAAAATTGAATAATGAACTCCTTGCGTTATAAAAAAAAAAAAAGTAAGTAATTTCACATAATTCGAAATCTATTTGAATATAAAATTAAAGTTGAGAAATTGAATCTTTGTTAAAATTCCAGTTTAAAATATAATGATAAAACTTCTTAATAGAAATTAGGAAGACTCGTTAATGTATATAATATTAATCATTTTTAATTGAGTACCAATAGCCTGATGATTTTTTATATTAATTTTATTTATATCGATATTTTTATTCATTATGATAACTTGTGCATCATTGTAAAGAGTATATATTTATATACATATATATTTCCGTGAGAAATAAATTTTTTCGAAAAATTTTCAAAACTTGCATAAAATCCTTCGTTTTCAAAGGCCGCTAATCTTAATATGTATATATATATATAAAATGGATAATAAAATAGGTAGACGGTGCAGACTAGATTTTTCATTTTTAATTCACATTCCGGCATATTTATTTTATCCTAAGCCTCGGTGCATAAGGCAACTCAGCGCGTAAATATACCATAGATGTAAAATATAACAATCTTTTTATTACAACAATGCAGAAATATGCATTGTACACCTAAATTTGAAAGATATATCAAGTATAGCATTTGACAAAGGACAAATGTTTCATAAATTGAATGTTCCCTCAAGATGATAATAGTTTTCCTGCTTTTCTTCTTTTTCTTTTTTTTTCTTGTTTACTTACATAATACGCATTTAATCTTTTCAAAGACAGAAATTTAATTGGACATAAGATTGATCTAAGAATATGTATTATCGGCATATTATTTTTACCTACGTTTGTTTTCTGTCGTTGAAATAATTAAATACAAAACATATCAATGATGCAACAAAAATTTAACAGAAATAATAATAACAAAACAAATTAGACATTTTATATGTAAAATAAATAAAAATTAATATTAGCCATTTAGAATAATTAACAATTTAATAATATAAAGTTTCTATCTAATTAGATCTTTCTTTATGCAAATTGTATGCGTATACAAAATAAAAAGCTCAAAAAACGTAGAGCATGGCGAGCATTGAAGGAAAAATACAACATGGAATGTTACAACACTTAAATTAATATCTTATCCATTTTTTTTTTTTCATTTGAAAGTTAGTCCATAAGTTTAGCCGCTTCTTCATCTAAAATCCAATATAAGGAACCATTGGTTGGCTCGACTCGAGCAGCCGGTAAATTTTCATTATCTTTCAGGATTTTCTAAAATTAAATGAAGAGCCATGCGAAAAGTATAAAATGATCAAATTTTACAAGATTTTTATACAAGCGTACACACTCTTTTATGTATTATATAAAAATATAATATTTACCTTGACTATCTTAGCTTTGCTATCTCCTAATACAGTAAAAACACATACTCTAGCATTGTTAATAACAGGAAATGTGAATGTAATCCTAGATAATGGTGGCTTAGGAGAATCATTAATAGGACAAACCCATAAACTTGTTTCATCCAAGAGTTTGTGATTAGGAAACAGAGAACACGTGTGTCCATCCGGTCCCAATCCTAATAATAATACATCAAATTTTGGTAAACTGTCGGGTGGAAAATAGACAGACATTTTTTTTATATAATCCCTTGCAGCTTCTTCGGCTAAAAAAAGTCAATTAGATAAAATAAATAAACTTGTCAGATGAATTACAAATATGAACATAAACACATATACAAAGGACAAATGAAAAACATTAATAATATATACCTGAAAGTTCAGGATCGATTTTGATAAATTGATCATCAGTTATAGGAATTACCCCGATAAGACTCGTTTTATATGATCCATAAGTCGATTCTCCATTTTCAAAAGGAACAACTCTTTCATCGCAGAAGAAAAAACGCCATTTGCTCCAATCGGTTGTAACATTAGGTAAAGTCTCTACCAATATATTTACAAGAGATCCTCCTAATAATTGTAAATATTTATTAATATCATTCAAAATAATATATTTAGAGAATAGTTTTATATACTATTAAAGAATCACACTGTAATTATCTAGATAAGCTAATATTGTATTCTTTTTTCTATATTATATAAACATATTCATAATAACATATAGATAACATTAAATTTAAAAACCTTTGCTATACAACCTAATTAAAATAAATGTTTTAAAAATCAAGAAGAGAGAGAGAGAGAGAGAGAGAGAGAGATGGAACAGAGATACTTAAAACGGTTTGTAAATTGAAATATACTAATCACCTGATAATCCAATTTTGAAAATATCATCGCGAGCGATTGCTTCATCAGAATTTGTCTTAAGTATTTTAGTTAAGCGTGATATTACTGCTTCATAATTTTCTTCGATAAGTATATCTATTGTTTCTGCCATTTCTTCGTAAGAATAACCTTTATCCTTTTAACCAGCAAAGATCAAACACGCCAGTTGCGAGGCGGTTTATGAAGAAAATGTCCGACTAAAAATATAATGTTACCAGATGGAATACTTGCTTGTAAAACTCATTCAAAATGAAATATGATATTTCTTGTTACTTTTTCTTTTTCATGATAATATAACAAAGTGAAAATAATGACGAAAGAACGTCATCAATTACATATTAATATTAAAATACATCAAAAATACGATTAAACTTATACTTTAGAATTATTTTTCGAAAATATATGAAGCCTTCCTATTGGTCAAGTAACTTAATATTATTCTTATTTTCTACTACGTAATCAAATGCTTCGATCAGCGGGAAATTTAAATCAACATGAAAAACCGATTAGGTTGACTATACTGATTTTTTCCTTTGTAATAAATTCGTCTGTATATCATTTTACTTGTTTAATCGAATTTTTTTATGTAAACTATTATATAAATTTAAAATACAAGTTAATTATAAAAGAGTTTACAAAATTGTGTAGCTTCTTGACAAATTCTTATAGCGCGCCCTCTTTTCTTTATATTATTTATATTTTATGTTATGTCTAATCTCTCAACTAGTATAGCAGTAGTATTACTTAGATGAATTCTATTTTGTATTCTTCACGTCAATCTTCCACAATCTTAATGGTTGCTGTTACTGTAAGAAATTATTCAAATATGTGTATATACTTGTGGCGTCTCGCACCAGCGCAGTGCTGACATCTCTCGGCCAACAGCGCGCAGCTATAGCAGCGCGCGCAGGAAAAGTGCTGACACCTCTCGGCCGCCAGCACTAACATACGCAAGCACCTCATGACGCGGTTCCGCAGGGGCATCTGATTGGCCTGACCACGCCTTTGGTTGGTCAGAGCAGAAGAGTGACCACTGGGACTGTTGCTCTCCCCACTTCCGCATGCCTGGATCGCCGTGGCGGTGCACACGCAGGAAAAACCACTTCACTTCTGCTTCATCAGTCGAACCGTCCGGTCGCACTTCTCTCATCGCGCTCACTGTGTAAAAAGTATCTCCTGTGTGCAAACATTATCTTCTGTACGTGACCACGTGGCACACCACGCCGACAAATAAATATCGTCCCACGGGATCAAAAATATAATCGGGAATTTCTTTCCTCCACACGGAGTCTCCTAGGCCCATTCCCTTCTCCGCGGCCGTTCCTCGCGTCGGTGTGAACGCGCCTTAACGCGCCTAGTAACCTAGGGAAAGAATATCCCAAATACTTTTATATACGATCATAAAAAATTAATTCGATCATATTAATTCATTAATATTTATAAACAAAGTGAGAGAGGCATAGACATGCAAGCATATAGTGAGTGAGTGAGTGAGTGAGAAAGAAAAAGAAAAAGAAAGAAAGAACGAGTGAGTGAGTGAGTGAACGTATGAGTGAGTTTATAAACAGTCCATAACCATGGTGTCTACGAAAAGCAACAAATGTTCCATTTTTGATTACGTACTTGTAATAAGAAATATTTTTAACAATCGTATATACGTATATTGTAAACTCATTGCACGCTTATATAACAATAACAGTTGGACAATTTAATATCGCATATATTTTCATTTTGTTATACATTTGATCATGACGTAGATTTAACCATAAGATACACATTAAATAATGAAGATAATATTTATTTCTATAGGAAATAGTTGAGGATAGTTGTAATTTAGGTGGCAATGCAAGTGTCAAGCTCATGTGTTCTAATCCTCGGCTCTGAATATACGTGATATATATATAAACAATTCTATTTTGAATCTAAGAAAAGTAATGAAATTCGTGAGACAATGAGCAAAATGTCAGAATCAACGAGTAATCTACAACGCATATCCAATATGCCAGAGATAATGGATTTAGTCAAACTTCTTCGTCAAAATGGTGATAAAGTTTTAAGTGCATCGAGCAAGTTATCATTATCTACTACATTACTTTATAATTTAAATGAAGCATTTTCATTGATTGTGGATGATGATGAAGATTTGAAATCTTCATTTCAAGTTTGCAATAGTTCAAAAATAGACTTATTTAGAGATTTGAAATTTTTGCACGACTTTGTACAGAAAACAATCGGTCTAAAGCTAACTCATTACTCGACGGCTAATGCCAAAATACATGTTGATATTACCAAATTTAGAAGTTTGAAATATTTGGAGTTGAAAAAAGTTAGTATTAATTTAGTAAAAGGAATACAAGGAATAAGAGGCCAATTAGAAAGTATTACGTGTGCTGGAAGACAAGGCATTACTACTGTAGCACAATTATTAGGTATTACAAAAATAACAATATTTCTATTAACGTTTAGCACATTATGCCTTTTTAAAACGAATCTCTATTGTTCTTCTTTTTCTAGCAACGTGTGGTGAAGATGCTGGAGCAGGATTCGTTTGGGGTTCTTTGAGGCACTTATCATTATCTCATAATGCTCTAGAACGATTAGACAGATCCTTTGAACTTACACCATGGCTACAAATATTAGATTTGAGTCACAATTTACTAAATAATGCAGCAGAACTTGATTGTTTGCCTAATCTAAAATATCTTAATCTTGGATATAACAAATTAGAAACGGTTCCTGCTTTTAATAAATCGACAATGCATTCTCTTCAAATATTAGTTTTAAAAAATAATTACATCGAAGATATTAGTGGTACGTTTAATTTACTGTTTATTACTATTAATTTAATATTCAGCTTGAGTTATATATGAAAATAAAATATTTCTTCTTCTATAGGCTTAGAAGGATTGGAATGTTTAACGGAGATAGACTTATCATTCAACTGCTTAACGGAACATTCTGTTTTGTGGCCTATTGAAAGGATGTCAGCGTTGCTATGGCTATCTTTGGAAGGAAATCCATTATCATATCATCCAAAACATAGATTGTTATCCATTAAATATTTACATCCATGTTTAATCGATAACAAGGTAAAGTTCTTTAAAGCGTACGGGTAAAGGTATATTACCTGTAGCCTTACAAGTTTTCTTATAGTTTGTTTTAGATCATTGGCCTTTGTCAAAATCAGAAAAAATGCTTGTAGAAGACAATCGTGTTTTTCCAATTAGAAACATGCAGTCTAGTGTTGTATCAAGAGACAATTTTGTTTCTTTGTCAAATTCAACTACTTCCAATAATACATTTTCATCTGGTGACTCTTTTGTTTCTAAAGATTTCTTAATAAATACCCCCCAGACTTCTAATACAAGCACCAGAGGGGAGACAAGTTTTACTGCTTTAGGAAAAAGTAGAAAAAAGACAAACGTAAAGGAAGCTATTATCACAGAAGAAGACCAAGAAAAAAAGGATTCCGTGAATAAATCAGAAGTATTATCTTCTTCGCATTTAGGTAACAATATTGAATTTAATCAAATGTGTATTTAAACTATGACATTCTTATTTATCAAATATATTTATTCTTATTTTTAAAAACATTTATCAAATATAGAAACGAAGAAACAAATATTGGCATTACGAGAGAAATTTGGCAAAGTAAATTGGCTAAGCAGTCAAGCTGGGAGCTTTGTTCAAGATATTATGGGTTTGCAATCACCATCACCTACGATTAATTATCTCGTCGATACAAATTCGACATTATCCGAAGACAATCTTGATATAACATCTTTGATAGAAAATAAGGATTCGAATCATACTAATTCAGAAAATTTAAGCAATCCTGTTGTTGTAAATTGTAATGATAATGGAAATTCTGATAAAGTAGAAGAAACAGACGATAACAAAGTATCCGATAAGGAAGTATCGAATAATGACGATTTGACAACTACTCTTGAAAATCCTCCTGAAGTCAATCCTTTGTTTGATCTCGAATTAGGTATTATTTATCAATAATACATATGTAATTTGTTATTTGTAATTATTTCAATTAATAATCCCCTTATTGTTTTGTTCACAGAAAAAAGTGATTTGTATTTAGTACAAAACAGGAAAAATTCGAATGAAATGGAAGAATTATTTCTAGAACTAACGGCCGAGTAAATATCTCATTTTCTTTTTTTTTATTAACTACATTTATGCATATACATACATTTCATTTATCTCATTAAATTGCAGCGATATAAAGGAAAGAGATACTACAAGTGGAATAGTTAGAAATTCTTGGTCAGTAGCATCCGTTCTATCGTGTGTATTAGGAAGAGGTGAAGAACCTATGGTGGACATTATATTCGATACGAAACGTAAAGATAAACAAAACAGAAGATATTTTATAGAATTGGAAGACGCAAAGGTAAATCTTATTGCACAAAGACATTATTTTAACTAATACTTTTGTTAATTTTTTCTTTTATTAATAGAAAATCGTGTCAGTGATCAATGAAAAAATGAGTGCACATCCTATACTATTAAAAGTTTATAAATGCATGAAGTGTTCGACTCATTTCTCAGATGATGAGGAACATGCAGCTATAATTCTTAGATCTGCAATTGGTTTGTTATTACATTAACGTAAAATTCTTTTTAAGATAGAGTCATAGAAAAAGATAATATTTTTTTTCAGGTATGAAGCAATTGAAGTGTCCTACTTGTACAAGTACATTAGTTATAGAGATGAATGAATTTTCAGAAATGCATTCTAAAAATGAAGAAACTCTCACGCACAAAAACAATAAATCTATTGAAATGTCTGAAATAATTAATTTGCAACATTCTGAATCGACTTCTAGTATCGGTAACTATATATATATGTATATATTGTGCAATGTGATTGTTAGAATGAGATTTTTTCTAATTGCATTCAAGTCGAAAAGAAATCAGTTCTTTTTTTTTAACAAAGTTTAGATGTTGTAAATCATTATAATATTCATAATTCTTGTTTCTATCGTTGTGCGTGTTACATATGATAGCGATAACAATGAGATACACATATATAACATATTTAAAAACAATGATTTTTTTTTTGAAGCTTTTTTCTATGCAATTAAATAACATATTAAATTTTTGGCTACAAGAAGAAATGAATTTAATATAGCAATTAAAAGTAAATCTCTGGTAAAAATAATGTCGATGAATTAGCAGAATGCAAATGTCATAATTGTCGATGATTGCCTGTCAGTACATTTAATTGTTAACTGGGAATATAACATACTAATCCAGGTGCAGGTGGAACGGAGGGTGAAGCTATATCCGTCAGCACTTCTCTGGTGCACTACGACTCTCACCCCCAAGCCCAAGTCTGCTGTAAGCTCAGCCACAATAATATATATATTTATATATTATAGCACTCTATACTTTCAAATATATATCATGAAAGCTCAAGTGCACATTAAATACTTTCCAATGTTACAAGTATAAATATGCATATCCACTAATAAATAAGCATTAATAAAAAGATAAAATGAACTATTTTAAATATCAAAGATTATATACAATAGATCATATACTTGTAACATAAGCAACTCATTCACTTTATAACTATATTAACATGAAAGCTTATATATCAACTTATCCTCCTTAATAATCCTTTAAATCTTTAAGCAATGCTTTAATTTTATTGAGATAACATATCTTGTCACATTATATATATATATATATATATATATATATATATATATAACTGCAGATGTATTCATATTTTCTTTATATATTTATATTTTTTACTTGTATAGTCACGAAGTAATAGCAACAAGATTTGTTATAACTCAAAAGAATAATTTATACATTATTCATTATTCGTTATTTATTAATTATTAATCATTATTAAATATCAATTATTGTATTAACAGGTTCAGCAACTAGTTTAGAAGAATCAAGAGAATCAACGCCTTCGATAAGTGCCATAATTAAAAAGTACGAAAGTGATATAGAAATTCTTAGTAATCCAAGTCAAAGTAGTATCGAAGTTTTGGACGAAGCTTCAAAGTTAGTAAATAATAACGAATCTATGGTTGCAATTGTAACTATATCTATGTGCGCAATTGCAATATTATTCCTTAACAAAGAAACTAATAAGAAAAATAATATACCTATTGTCTCTTATCTACAGAGCTAATTTAACTCCTAATAGGAAGAAATCATCGGAAGAAAGATCCGCAAGTGTTGCTCCTTCTCTTTTAACAATTACGGATACAATTGGTCCGGCTATGGTTGGATTAACTGAAAGTAGTTCTTCAGGTTTATATTTTTATATACATTTTATCATATATTATTCATTTGTTATGTAAATTATTAATATATATTTATTATTGATATTTGTCCTGTTTTAGGTTCTTTAACTGATAGCATCTGTACAGCGTATGAAAATAGAAATGTTAAAAAATCTAATAATACCGAAATAAATTCTGAAAAAGAATCTGTACCCGTAGCAAATATATCTACGATGCTTGGAGGTAATTAAAGATGTTAACCTTACTGATTCTAATTTAAATGATTCATTACAAATTACAAACATTTTGATTTTCAGAACTTTTACAAAGTATCAAAATAGGAAGTAATAAATCTTTACCAATAAAGACTGAGGAAGAAATAAGCTCTTTAAATAGCAACGTGCAATATTCTTATACAGATTTTAGTAGCGTTGATCATAGAGTGAAACTCCATATCATTTTAAACGTCTTTGAACACGAAAGTGAAGAACTTGCTCTACTTCTTAGGGTATCTTAATCTTATTTATAATTAATAGTTGTATTATTCATTATTTATTTTAACTCTAATGTTAATATTGATATTTTTAGGCTGATATATTGATGCAGGGTCAAAAGGAAATATTTCCAGGATGTTTAGTTTTATCTACATCAAAGGTTTATATCCTTAAAATTGATGGACCAGAAGGGTAGGGGATTCTACTATCAAGTTTTGATGTATTAATACTTTTAAAAATATTTCTTCACAAATATATTTGATATTTTATAAAACAGGGAGGATCCGCAGCGTTGGTTGCACAAAGAATGTAGCTGGACGATAGATAAATTAAGATCTATTGCAGCATTGCCTTTTAAACAAGGTGTTTTAGTAGAGTTACAACAGCCAACAAAAATGAACGAAGAGTACGTCAACATTAGTTTATTATGCATACTACAAGATTTTCAAAGGACATCGAATTTTTTATTTTATATAACAGGTAACGCGGATAAATATTACGTTTATATATATATACATATATTAACATATTATTACGTTTATTAATGAAATATATTTATCAACAGACCCTCCGCTACCTGCTAGTTGCGAAGTCGAATTTTCTGTACCAGAGCATTGCAGTACTTTAATGCATAATTTATTATCAGATATTAAAAAAGATGAAAATAGTGATGATACTGTTAGAATTCTAGCACTCTTTTCTTCTGCAGTACTGAAATGTCATAATAATACTGTAATGACCAAATACTCTGGACTCTTAATAACAGCATCCACCTTAGTAATATTAGAGGATAATATGCAATGGCTTTTACCAAATACTAAAGTAGTACCAGTTGTATTGAAAGAACAAACTATGAGTAATTTAATGGGAATCGTAAGTGAACCTTCTTTCTTTTTTTTCCAAATCAAATGTATTATTACAATTAATATTCGATATATACATTTAACACTTTACACATAGAATGAAATGAAAATAATTTTAGGAACGCTGCGATACGATGTTGGTTTTAAATTTCTTAAACGAGATTGCAGGCTCGGAAGAAACATGGAGCTTAGAATTTATTTCTGTAGGTGCTGCCGAGGCTGTCATTAATTCAATACAATCGCCATGGGAAGAACTGTTTTCAGTACCCCTTCAAGTTACTACCAAATCAATACTAGATAATGACAAATCTTAAAAAAGGTTGTTTCTATTGACTAATCTTTGATTGATAATAATAATAAGTTATGCCACAAAATATGATAGAGAGATTTTCAATTGTAATGTATATAAAAGTGATCATGAATCATTAGGATTTCACAATAAATTTTTTATCATTTGACAAATTTTTCTAGCTTCAATATTAAACGCGTAAAAGTCAAACATTTAACCATAAGTCACAAATATATAAACTTGAAATATTTTTACTATTAACTTTCTAACTTCTTCATATTTTCTTGGATTATTGATAATCTATTATACTTGTTCAGAGATTCATGAAATAAGGCGATGTGGTATTTATCTTAATACATTAGGACAATGAAATCAAATATCTTAGTGTAAATTGTATTTTTTATATTCTTTATGGAAATATTGCACAAGCGTAAGTAACGATGATTGGAAAATTCGATCAAGATTTTGTTTCTCTTGTAATATAACAAATTTTATTATTATTTATAATTGATAGATATTTACATCTTGAGAATTTAAGCGTTAATTATAAAGGGAACAACAAATGAACTATACTGTACTATACTATACTGTATTATACTATAATATATACATCTTATTTTGTAAAACTCATTTGGCTGTGGTATAAGTAATATTTTAAAGATGTAACTATAACTGTATATATATATTCTAACAGTTATTAATTCTATAATTTATTTTTATACCCAGAAATATAAAAGTGTTCTCAATTGACAATCTTATAAATGCAATATAATATCTCGATCTTACGTAAAAATGTTTAAAGAATAAAATGTTTGAATATAATATGGTAAAAGAAATTTATATTTTATATGAATAAACATGCATTATAGATTATTTGTAACTATATAAAATGTATATAATTATTATAATTGTTCTAATAGCATTAATAAATTAATGCTTTTAGCGTAGGAGTTAAATCATTACCCATGGAAGGGAGAGCTCATTCATTACTTTCAACAAAGATAAGTACGATTCGACAATACCATCATCATCATGAAAGATTTTGGAAGACTGTGCAAAATTTTATTTACACTGGAAAAGAACCAAAGATAGAGATAAATATCCTATCAAAAAAATATGAAAAAGGAATATGCCTCTTATAATTATTAGGTGGACCGGAAAATAATGTCGTTTCTACATATGTCAAATTTTGTATATTTTTATCAAAAACCGATTGATTTTTATCAATTTGATATTAAAAATTTGCATACTAGATGAAGAAAGGTTGTTCATAACAAAGTTGATTATATTATTGATTAAAAATATAAATTTGTTAGAAATTTATTCGTGTGAATGTAAGGTTAGAAAGCGACGTTACTTTCCGGTCCATCTAATATTACAAATTTCAACAACATTATTTTGAAATACATTTTAATGGGCAATTCTTCACCTGTACAAAATGTATTGTCAAACATTGTACTGGGTAATTGAAAATATTATTATGTATTAACTGACATTTAACAATATGAAGAAAACTACTTTTTTTTTTATCTAAGAGATTGTCAGAGCAACAATGTCATTGATATAAATGATAGAAACAGTGTCTTACTTGCACAATAATAAAAAATGAGAGAATAAAATTAACAGAAAATCAAATTCAACTGAGTATCAAAGTTTGTCACGTGCTTTTTATGATTATTGACTGGAGGATACAATGTTAGAAAAAAAAAGCCATAGAATATCTCTAATATCTTTTAAAAAATATTCTATAGATTTTTTAATTTTGCATGGAATAGTTGAACAAACGAATGATTTGATTTTTTTTTTATAGGTCTACTATGTAATTTTGTAGAAAAGAAAAAACAAATTAACATTCTAATGGCTCAAGATTAGGGAAGAAAAAAAGAAAACTACGTTATCGTGAAAAAACAAATTGCACTATTATATAGTAAGCAACATTAAATAATACACAGTTGGTTCATCGTTTGGTTTAACAGATTGTATAAACATTTTCTTTAAACATAATATTCTTATATATTTGATTCCTCACGTGATTTGTAAATAAAAATAGAAAATAACATTTTGTATTATGTATTTTTGTTATATAAAGTCCAGTCAAGTTTCTTAATAACTCAATACTGTAATAAATCCATTGTAATTTTGTAAAATGATCTCATATCACGATTGTACATTAAATATTAATAATAATTACATTTTTTTAAATATGTCATAATTTAATGTTATATATAAGTCACCGATGAAAAATATGATATTTTTAATTCTTAATAACGTATTATTTATTATCATTAAATTATCAACCTTTTTCTATAGATTAATAATAATAAGAAGAAATATCTAATAGTTTAGAAACATATTAATAAATGTTTCTATCAATACATTCACTATACTTATTATACATACTATGAAAAGCATTTAAATACCACCCTCGATTTAAAGTTTTGACGTTTTCTCTAACTTCCAATAGAAACCCAGATTTTTGCGTGATTAAGATGGTTTTCTCGCGTCGCAAAAATTCAAGAAAATGTAACAGGAGCACACGATGATAAAGGAGGTGCATGATAAAAAGAACGTTACCACCTAGAATGCTCATTGGTTGGAAATAAGGCAAGTAATGAAAGTATAGGAAATAAGTAAAGACTATCGGTAAGGCAGTAACATAACCGACGGTCGGTAAGTTATCATCGATCGGTAAGTTTTTATGGTAACTTATCAAATATACTTTTTCGTGCTACCTCTTTTCCTATCGTGTTCTCCTATTATATTTCTTTAATTTTTAAGACGCGAGAAAACGACCTTAACCACCGGAATATCTAGATTTCTATTGGAAATTGGAAAATAATTCAAAACGAATTGAAGATGGCATTTAAATGCCATTAATAATAAATATATTGACAAGTATATTCATTAATATATTTGTTAGCCATTAGATATTGTTTATTAACTTTTATGAACTTTTATTATATTATTTAGAATTTTGTATAAAACAGCAACACTGCGCAAGCTACAACGCTTTAAACTTGTAACCAGCAAGTCATTGCATCGAGTTTTATTCAAACAAGTTTGACTGTTATTTAAATTTTATTTCTGTTTTTCTTATTCTTGTTATTGTAAAGTTTTTTAGTTTATTTTTTCTTTTTTTTTAAAGAAGCGCACAATAGATATTTCTCGTTCGTTATTTAGTTTAAGAAGCAAACCTTAATTATGGAAGAAAAATCGAAGATTGGCAGTACGCGATGTATTTTTATTATATGAATAAAGATATTTTCTAATTAAAAACATACTTTACAGTAACGGGAATAAATAAATAGATAAATAAAATATAATTGTGGACAAATTTTGTTATTTGTCTCCTGCCATATTTACAATAGAAGCCTCGTCATCTAGGTCATTCATCTCGCAAGCACTGTTTGCGCGCCTTATTCGAAAAATTCTATTATCTTCACGAATTCCTTGTTAAATAGCAAAATTTTCTGACTTTGTAGTAACCGATTCATTTTTTTCTTATATATAAATTGATTCTTAAATTATATTACCCCAAAAAGGAAAAAGGATATTTGTATAATATTAAAATGTTTTATGATAAGAAATGATAACTTTAAGGGCAGTAGGTTGATGAAATAGGTTCGTAAACAAGAATAAACCTTGCAGGTGGTTTGAGGTGTTCGAATGAAATCTACATTTAAAGTGACAAGAAATTATAATACATAAACATAAAATATGTCAGAAGTTAATCCTAAACATATGCTTCATAGTGGTATTTTTCATCCCGTTTTAAGACTATGGCAATCTCCAAATGTAGAAATGACTGTAAATAATCTTATGTATCCGATTTTTGTATCGTAAGTATTGCTACATAACCTGCCCATTCGAATAATTGTACACATGTCTATTTTGGTATGTAATGTATCTAACTATTTATATAAAAAAAAAAATATTATAAAATATTACTATATATTATTTATCTTTTTTAATATATTAATCAATCTTTATAAAATTATTAAATAATTAATATTATGTGTTACATAATATTCTGTAATTTGTTATGTTAATGATTGATCTATAAAAAGATTATTATAGAAAGGAATAAAAGTATTTGTCATTATTGATTATTTTACTTCTTTCAGCGATAATAAAAATGATAAGGAGCCGATCGAAAGTATGCCTGGTGTACATCGTTATGGTATTAATCGATTGCACGAGGATTTACAACCATTAATTTCTAAAGGATTGAAGTCAATATTATTATTTGGAGTGTCTAAACATCTAGTGAAAGTAAGTATTCCTATTTTCTAGCCATTTGTCTTTAACTATCTCACAGATACAGATTTATTTTTGTAGGATCGCATTGGCTCCAATGCTGACAGTAGAGAAAATCCTATAGTTCAGGTAGTTCCATTGATAAGGAAATGGTTTCCAAATTTAGTTGTAGCATGCGATGTGTGCTTGTGTCCTTATACTATTCATGGTCACTGTGGTATTTTAAATCACGATGGAACTATCGATAACAGTGCAAGCATTAAACGTATTTCTGAAATTGCAGTCGCATATGCAAAAGCTGGTTTGATTTATTTTTCTTAAATATATATTGTTAAAATAAATAATCATTTATCCATATCTTCTTTCTTCTTATTTGAATGTAATACTACAGGTGCACACATAGTTGCTCCATCCGATATGATGGATGGTAGAGTGGGTGCAATAAAACAACAATTAGTTGCGGCTGGATTGTCAAATAAAGTTGCTGTATTATCATATGCAGTTAAATTTGCATCAGGATTTTATGGACCTTTCAGAGATGCATCTCAGTCAGCCCCAAAATTTGGTAATCGTAAATGTTACCAATTACCACCGGGTAGTAATGGATTAGCAGCTAGAGCTGCTGTAAGTTTAATCTTTTTATCTCTATTATAGTATTTATACTTAATAGTATTATACTTAATATTAATAGCTTTTCTTTTTTTTTTAAAGGCCAGAGATATAGCAGAAGGAGCAGACATGATTATGGTAAAACCAGGATTACCTTATTTAGATGTAATTAGACATACAAAAGATGCGCATCCAGAGTATCCTATGTTTGTTTATCAAGTCTCTGGAGAATATGCGATGCTATATCATGGTGCACAAAATGGTGCAATTAACTTGGAAGATGTACTAAACGAAGTCCTAATGTCGATGCGACGAGCAGGAGCAGATTGTATCATAACATACTTTACGCCCTTAATTTTAGATATGTTAATGCCTAAGTGTAAATATTAATTATTTTAGAGTTCTTGTATAATTATGTGATTTAATGATGGTTAATTACTTTTCACGCAATATCTGTGGGCAAAATCAAGTACTGTAGTAGTAAAGTGTAAATGAATGTACATACATATATTGTTTTGTGAAAAAAAGATTTTTCAAAATAAATTTCAATGATTACTTCAAATAATAAGTATATTACTTAGTACACACATTATACTAAGTTATACAATAAATTATATGCAATAACTTTATCTAACCTATAATTCAATAAATTAATGATGCTTATTATATTTAAAAAAGATTAATCATGCAATGAAGTATGCTTCGAACAATTAATTGCTATGTCATTTGATTTGATATTTTGGTATCTTGATATATTTTTTTTTTCTTCTTTTTCTAATGTCCTCCTAAAAGAACTCCAGGTTATAAATACATGTGTATAAATAAATACAGATGATAATAACATATTTTAATGTTACATCATTACATGGAAACTACTAGATACATTACTATCAGAATACCAATAACAAACGTTGACGATTCGTCCGAATTTTCTGGAATGAAAATCCTGTTATGACGTGGGCCTATAAACGTAAGCCAACTGTATACACGAGCACCAATAGATTTACTTTATTCCCTTATCTCGTGGCAATTCTAACCAATCAGGGCGAGCCACGACTAAATCTTACCGTTAATATCAACGCACCGAATACCGACCGCAGTCAGTCGATTCTGAATTGTTGAGTGAAGTTATACTGTATGAGAGACTAGTTGAATTCCATTTTCGTCAAGGAAGAATAATAATTATTTATTCAATTGGTATATAATTATTTTTTAATAATAATCATTTCACATTTTGTATTCTAGTTAAAATGAAATATTTGTCTATTTTCAAAATTCTGTGTCAGTCCATATAATTTTAGTGCAAAATTTTTCCATTTTTCGTGCCACGTATCGCTGTTTTATTCTATCTGGAGTTCATACGTGTACTAGATATTCATTATTATCTACTTTTTTCATTTTAATTTTTTAAATAAATTAATATAAAATACATTAGAAGATATATAGAAGAATTTGTGTAATTTAAAGAAAAAAGTATGAGAAAGCTCCACCTTATTTAAATCCCACATACTCAATGACTGCTCTGTCAATGTCATTGACATTGTCATTTTTAACTAATCAATGTATTCAAATATTTTCTATCTTTTATATTTAACAAATGAATTAATGATTGACATAAATTTGTACATTTATTTTGTATTCATTAATGTTGTATCACATGTTGAATTATTGATTAACTTGTAGAATGGTATAGAATATAATTGTCTCATACTTATCTCTTGTATCTTTTTTAAAATGAAAAAATAATAAGATATGAAAATAATAAATGATAATTTTATTTAAATTTTCAGGATATCTAAAGAAAATAGATTAAAAATGAAAGGAGCAAAAGCTCTATTATTGCTAGGGCTGTTTACAGCCTTTGCATTTGCTAAAGAGGAGAAAAAGGATAAAAAAGAAGATATTGGAACTGTGATAGGGATTGATTTGGGTACCACATACTCTTGGTAAGTACAATTAATAAGAAATTGTATAAAATTAACGAAACGTCATTGTTACAATAAAGAATTTTTCTAGCGTTGGTGTCTATAAAAATGGTCGCGTGGAAATTATCGCCAATGATCAAGGAAATAGAATTACACCATCTTATGTAGCTTTTACTAGCGATGGGGAACGATTGATCGGTGATGCTGCCAAAAATCAATTAACCACAAATCCTGAAAATACAATTTTTGATGCTAAACGTTTAATTGGACGCGAATGGATGGACACCACGGTACAGCACGATGTCAAATTCTTCCCATTTAAAGTTATGGAAAAGAATAACAAACCCCATATAGAAGTTCAAACTAGCCAGGGTAAAAAGATATTCGCACCAGAGGAAATCTCTGCTATGGTATTGGGTAAAATGAAAGAAACCGCAGAAGCGTATTTAGGAAAAAAAGTAACCCATGCCGTAGTAACAGTTCCTGCATATTTCAATGACGCACAAAGACAAGTAAGAAAGAGAAAATGATTAATATTAAGAATAGAAAAGTATTTCGTACAAAAATATGTTTCTATAAATTTTTCATTTTTGTGTAATAGGCCACAAAGGATGCTGGTACCATTTCTGGACTTAATGTAATGAGAATTATTAATGAACCAACAGCCGCTGCTATTGCTTATGGTTTAGATAAGAAAGATGGAGAGAAGAATGTCTTAGTCTTTGATTTGGGAGGTGGTACCTTTGATGTTAGTTTACTTACTATTGACAATGGCGTCTTTGAAGTCGTTGCTACCAATGGTGATACACACTTGGGTGGAGAAGACTTTGATCAGCGCGTTATGGACCACTTTATCAAGCTTTATAAGAAGAAAAAGGGTAAAGACATTCGAAAGGATAACAGAGCCGTACAGAAACTTCGTCGTGAAGTTGAAAAAGCCAAGAGAGTACTCAGTGCTAGTCATCAAGTACGTATAAGCAATTATATTATATTACCTTTATTTTATTCCCACCCATGTTATATGTATCTTTGTATTTATTATATTTATATTGTCCTTATAGGTGAGAATAGAAATTGAATCGTTCTTCGAAGGAGAAGATTTCTCTGAAACTTTGACACGTGCTAAATTTGAAGAGCTTAATATGGATCTTTTCCGTAGTACTCTTAAACCTGTACAAAAAGTATTGGAAGATTCCGATATGAGTAAAAAAGATGTACATGAAATTGTCCTTGTTGGTGGATCAACCAGAATACCTAAAGTTCAACAGTTGGTTAAAGAATTCTTTGGTGGTAAAGAGCCTTCAAGGGGTATTAATCCTGACGAGGCTGTCGCGTACGGTGCTGCGGTCCAAGCTGGTGTTCTTTCGGGCGAACAAGACACTGATGCAATCGTACTTTTGGATGTTAATCCACTTACCATGGGTATAGAGACTGTAGGAGGTGTCATGACTAAGCTCATTCCAAGGTAACTATTAATTACAATAGTTGTCGCAATTGATATCTTTTTTATTCCGACAATGTGAATGTATACATCAATGAATTATTTTTTCATAATTTCAGAAATACTGTCATTCCTACAAAGAAATCACAAATCTTCTCAACCGCGTCAGATAACCAACACACCGTTACAATTCAAGTATACGAAGGCGAGCGGCCTATGACTAAAGACAATCATCTTCTTGGAAAATTCGATTTAACTGGAATTCCACCGGCTCCCCGCGGAATACCTCAAATAGAAGTTACATTTGAAATTGATGCCAATGGTATTTTACAAGTTTCCGCTGAAGATAAAGGCACTGGAAATCGAGAGAAAATTGTTATTACCAATGATCAAAATAGATTAACGCCAGATGATATCGAAAGAATGATCAAAGATGCTGAGAAGTTTGCGGATGATGACAAGAAACTAAAAGAAAGAGTAGAGGCTCGTAACGAACTCGAATCTTATGCATATTCATTAAAAAATCAACTAGCCGATAAGGAAAAACTTGGCTCGAAAGTTAGCGATTCGGACAAGGCGAAGATGGAGGAAGCGATCGACGAGAAGATCAAGTGGTTAGAAGATAATCAGGATACAGATCCGGAAGAGTACAAGAAACAGAAGAAAGAACTATCGGACATAGTACAACCGATCATAGCCAAATTGTATCAAGGTGCGGGTGGTGGTGTACCGCCAACTGTTGGCGAAGAAGATGATGATCTAAAAGATGAACTATAACCTTTCAAGAATTCACGAAGCATTTTTGTTCATAATTAGACTGAAATAATCAACTTCCTAAATGAGGAATGCATCAAGGACCTACTAATATGTGTCAGATGATAATGTCTTCATGGTGGATCGATATCGAAGCCGAGTCTAACAATAACAATTTCAAAATCCTTTATAGACACACACCATATACACACATACACACATATATATAGTGATTTATCATGGATCGACATGTTAATAGACTCTCTATCATATATGTTTCTTACAATGAGCGACGATCCGTTCACCATCATATTCTCTACTGAAAAGAAGAAAGACACAAGAAAAAATTAACTTATATATATATATATAACTTCGTTAATGGAGGGAACTTATTTAAAAAGCTCTTAGATAAGACTCTGCGTATTGTTAGTTTATTTTAATTATTTTATATGTTTGTTCTTAAGTCTAATCCATAAGCCAATCTTATAAAACTGATGTGTTTTTGGAATATGCAGTGGGATGTATGTGAGTATGATTGAGTTTAAAAATATTTACAATTTGTAATTATATTCAAGAAAGAAAAAAGGGGGGAAAAATAAAAAAGAAATTGCAAGAAAAACTGTAGTACTGTGTACAATACAGGTAACGTGTAAGTGTGAAAGTGCGTCATATATTAATATCATATATGTACTAAATAAATACATTTTTTCAATAAATATCCTTTTAAATGCTATTTATTTAATCCTATTTTATTAATAAATTAAAATAAACAAGAGATTACATTTGTAACATATCGATTTATTTAGTCCAAATAATATATATATACACATACCAAATAATTGCATGTATATTTCTTTTCATATTTTGGACGAATTATAACATTTAATGATTATAATTTAAACAAATATAAATATTTTTACGAATTAAATGTAATATTCCTAAAATATAGTTATATTTTGGAGTTTTTCTCGACCGTAATATAAATTGTATAAATATTATATTGATTTGCTCTTCTCGCAATTGTTACAGATAAAATGTCACATATTCTTCTTTCGTATTAAAATAGATTCGTTAACACAAATTAAACATTTGATTCGTGAGTTACCAACAAGAGATGCAAGTATCATGCTTGAATATTGGACACTTAATCCATTAGCTGCCACAATCCCCATTTGGGAATTTTAAAATTTTACGTATACCACTCAGTTTTATGTGTACTTTATGGAAAAATGGCATAATAATAGCTATTTTGTATATATAGGAAATAATAAAAGAAATAAGTAATAGTCTCTTATTGGTTTTTTTTTTCGTGCAACCAGTCACAATCCCCATTTAAGATTTTTTAAAAAATATAAATATTTCTGTACCCAAAAATAATTTGGCAGTTAATGGGTTAATTTAAATTTCTTTCGGATCTAAGAACAATTTACACTGTACTTTTGAATAATGTCAAAAATGTGTTTCTTATTTGATTGGTAATTCAAGAATCAATAATAATGATAAATCAAAATATCATTGTATTATATTCTATGTTATAAAGAATATTGTGAGTAATTATTTTTATAGATATCACTACCCAACAAATTAATAGACACGGTACGCCTCTGATAATTTGCTTATCCATTTTTCTAGTTTGAACAATATGTTTTGTGTATCACAGTATTATATCAGTAATGTAGTATTTTCAGTTTAAGTTGTAAATTACTTTGGATATAACAAATATGAAATCTAACGGTTAAATTATATTAATATAACTATAAATTCTTTGGAACTAAATGCATATCACAGTGGGATAGATAATTTTCGATGTTTTATATCATTTTAATGCTTATTCCAATATTTAGAAGCGTACCAGTCGTCATTAGATATATCATTCTAAAGATTACCATCTTGAATCTACGTATCTTATTGAAGATATTATAAAAAGCATTACCGCCAACCAGTGGAAATAAGCGAGCAAACAAATTTAAGTAAATATATTTTATGTACTTGTAATATGTTAAAAAGGCACCATAGATTATGTTATATACTGACATTATATCATACATCCAGTCTTATTCTAGTAATTTCATTGATTTAGCTTTTGTTTCCTTTTTGTTTTATAGTATAAAATAAAACTGCACTTTTAAGCCGTTACTTTTAATTACGTCATTTAGCCAAGTACTTGCCAAGTACACATGTTTTAAACAATCAAATCATCTAAAATGGAATTGCATTTTTTTCCAAATTTTAACAAGAAACGTATTGGACTCTATACTTAATGTGTAAGATCTATAGTTGCTAGAAAAATGCAATATATACCGTCATTGACTTAATATTAATATTTTATAATGAAACGATATAGAAAAGTTTACGCAATGTAATTATTGTTAAATACGTTCATCATCACTTGTTACAGAACTTTCTATTTGAAATTTCATTCCTTAATAAGATTGAAACATTATTGTTTCATAATTTCTTGTAAATTTGTCTCTACTCAAAATAGATTTTCATCGAATGAGCGATACAAAATTTGTTAGAATTATTGTAGGATCGATTTTTTAAATCGTATAGAAATGAATGATTTTAGTAGAGATTTACCTTTATAAAAATTGTTTTTGCATTTTGCAATATGTCATCCAATTAAAAACGCTAAATTTCTTATTCGTGAAAATGAAGAATTAAATCATGAGTACAGCATATTGTAGTACAGCTGATTTTCTTCAAAAGAGTGACTTTGCAAAAGCTTGTATAACCATAGGCACGGTTGCATCGAAACCGTAAATTGTCAAAATGTTTTTGTTGTATAAATCCTCTTTGTACGCTTTTGAAGAAGAAACAACGAAATTTATTAATCTAAAAAAAAATATTTCATATTAATCCTTGTGGGAATAGACATTGAATATAGGCACATAAATCAAGTGAAAAGTTCAATTCTTACTTTGCGTTGGGAAGATTCATTTGTTTTTTATATTCTTCAAAGTTTTCTTCGCATTCGTTGTAGTTTACTATATCGTTCACAACATTAATAAACACATCATACTGATAATTTTGTTTGGAGGCCCATTTAATAGGGTTACTTAATCGAATATCTTTCTTTGACTTAAACTGATATGTGGTACTTAGCGAAAAGAAACTTAATGACTGATTCAAATTGACAATATCAACGTCGATGATGTCAAATAAAGCGACAGTGACGTCTTTCTCGCATCGAGAAAGCGTATACGCTATTAAGAAACCAGCATCTGCCCCATTCACAGTCCCATTACGCGACGTCTTAGACCCCCACATTACTTTGTTAGCATCAATCGTTATCATATAACGCAATCCAGTAGATTTTAGATTCTGTGGATAGAAATTTGTAGGAAAAAATAATTAATGGGGTGTAATACTTACCTTATATATGTATATATCGAGTAAATATTATGAAACTTACCAAAAATGAAAGATCGAAGGCTTGGTGTAATGCACTTATAATCTTAGAGTTTGGTCTTGGCGAAGGACGATATGGTTTCTTTGCTTGTACTTTCATTTTTCGTTTCTCGTATGACAATGGCCTTTGAAAGATACATTACTCGTTAATAACTTGACATGCTGATCAAAGTGATGGCTAGAACCATCACTGTCAACCCTAGTGTAAACCTATGTATTGTTTTAGTATCAATCTACATATAAAATAATAGCATTATAAGTTATACGGTGTAGACACGATGCTATACGTCTGTATATCTTACTTTCCAGAGTGTAGATAATTTTGTAAAGTAATGTAAACAAGTATTGGATGTATATTGCTGAAAGCTAATCTGTCCTTATTAGTAATTTCATCTATTATTTTGTCAATAATTGGAGCATCTGCTTTCAATAATCCCAAATTGTGTATTCTTTGCAAATTACGCCAAAGCGTATCTAAATCCATTGTTGATACCAATGAATTCCAAATCTGTAAAGATAATAATTTATCCTTAAAAAGGAAAAAATAAACTATTAAAATAAGAAAATTGAAGTAAGAATGTTTGTAGATCTCATACCTCTGTAGATTTCAACATATGACCAGGGACATGGTCTAAGGTTAATTCGTACTTTTCTAAAAGGCCAGCTGCCTGAACTATATCATTGCAATGTTTGAAATTTTCAATCCTTTCGATATATTCAATCAGTTCTTGTACATTTAAGTTATTGCCAAAGGATTTTTTAGTTTCATCCAAACCATGCATTATGTACTTAAGTATCACTTCTTTTTCTATTTTGAACAGTATACGTTAATAAACTATTTAAGTAATTAATAAATATTAATCACTATTTATCGCGACTTCTTGCTTATTAATGGCTTATCAATAGTTTACCTGGTGTATCAGGATGTGGATGAGAGAGTTTGATTATATCCTTGTGCTTCCATCCGTGTCTGCCTTTACATCGTGTTACACATTTAGCTAATTCTAAAGGTTCCTTGGAAAGGTACCAATTATTAACAGTTTTACGCAATCCATGACCCCATCCATGACCAGGATTAACAGGTTGTTCCATTGAAATTTTGCGTTTACTTAATTCAGATATGAATTTGATAAATAGAATAAAATGTTCTGGCAATGAACAAATCTTTCCTACTAACGAATAAGCCGCATGACGTAAATTTTCGCTATAAACTTGTTTGCAACATACCGCCAATGCGAATATCAATGTCTCAAAATGAGGAACAAGATTACTTTCGAATGCCTAAAATATTGATGTATTATAAGCATTTCATGGCTAGTTTGATTTTAAATTAAAATGTCCTTACCTTTAGAATTATTTCAACTGGCAATAGTGATTTATTTTCATCTGCAGCTAATTTTTCGATACATTCAAGATGAATTGTTAAAAAATAATGATGGGCAATCAAATTTTCTGGCAGATAAAGAGGAAGTTCTTTTCCAACGTATAAAAATGCAGACATTTGTTCTTCGGGCGAATAAAAAGCATATTCTTTTTCCTTAAACTCTTTGTTTGTCTCCGAGGCTTTAGTTGCATCCATTTTTCAACGTACTAGTTAAATGTACTGAAAAAAAGACATTTTTCAAATTAAAGTTTTATAGAATAATATATAGACTTTAATATGTTAATATCTAAAAAGATGTATACTCTAGTCGCGCGCTTGGTTTATTATAAAGGAAACAAATTCTCATTTCAATGGTATTAGATTGGTTAATAGGACCCATGTCCCATAGATTTGTATGTCCCTTATTTATAGGATTTAATGATTGAGAATAAAAAGAGGATAGTTCTTTTTCAAGAAAAACTAATATATATAGATTTAGGACACATTTGGAATAGCCATCAATAATATCACCATATTTATCTATATTACATTAAATATTCTTACCTGTAATAAGAATGCACAGAAAGTAACGTTAGTATTACCAAACTCATATTCTTTAAACGTGTGTGTGTATGTGTGTATGTGTGTTGTACGCGCTTATATGCAAACGCGCGCGTGTGTATGTGTATAATCTATGAAGACAGTACTTTTGCTATTAATTACAAAAGAGATAATTAATATTAACAAATATGTAATTATAAACAAATTACCTCTGATATCTAAGTAGAAAGCGACGTGTACGCCTAACCAACGAACAAACTTCACAAGATGCACGCGCAAATTCTGACAACTGTGGTGACAGCCAATAGCGTTCCTTGCTACGCAAAAGTACACATACCAACTAATCAAAAACGACGATCAACAACACCGTTTGCAAATTCTTAATGCAAACAAATATTGCAATATTTGAATTCGTTTGTAGATAGATAAAATATATATTCTCATAGTTTACAGTTATAAGCTGTGAATGAATTAATTAGCATTAATGCATGTATATATTTGTATATATAAAATTATTATATTACCGTAATAATAACGGTACTATCTACACAAATAAAATCGCACGTATATGATGATCAATCACAGGAAACAATCCGTTTCATTATTGGAAATACGCCTTGATTTTATCTCAAAAAAGAAAAAAAATTATTAAGTAGTCGAATACAATACCAGAGTAAATTTCGTTATTTCAATAAATATTGACGAATAATGGAAGGACCATTTTGAAGAAAAACATTATAAATGGCAACAGATATTTTGTTTATTTATTAAATATGTAAAGGAATTTATGAAATGCGCCTTGTAATCAATTGTGTCTCATGTTTCGAGTTAAATATTACCGCTGTGTTCTACATCGTAATTCGAATTAGGCACAGGCGCATGACAGAAGATGCTGCTATCTATGCGCAAGGCGCCATATATGGACTCGTAAGACTAAAACCTACTTTAGATAACGAATTATATAAAAAGAATACTCTTTTGTAGATACCTATAACGATTCTCGAGTGATTAATTAAATAGTCTACATGTCATATTAATTAGGTCGAAGAGTATTACATGTATTATAAAGATGCATTTTGCTGAGTGATTGGTTTGTAGGTATTCAAATGGCATTATACCCCTTTCAAAATTTACTTAATTAATTTTAATTTAATGTTTAAAGGTCTATGTGTGCAATAAGCAAAAGAATTGATGAAATTAATCATCTATTCTGAGAAATCATTACAAAGTATTAGAATTTACTTCAAACAGAAGAATTTTTTGTTTATGCTATATTATCGTATACATTTTAATATTATTCATTTTAATGTAGCATTCTAACGTAAACATGGTTTATAATAAAGAAAAATAAAATAAAAACGGAGAGGCCCATACGAAAGAACATATATTCGTGGCAGAATGATAAAGGATCGCTTTTTAACGATCACGAGTGTTATGAAAAAAATCAATATTCATAATAAACAGTCGTATTTGTATAAACTACAAAGTAAAATACAGTCTGATAAATGTGTACAATAAAGGCAATCAATTGTTTTTTCTTTGCCAATTTATCAAATTTCCTTATTCTGATCTCTTCTTTTCTTCGTCGTATCCTCTTTTCACATGTACAACCTATCAGCTTAAATTGCGAACACGGCGAAGCTTAGTAGTATATAGATGTGTCGTAATTGACAAAGAAAAGGAAAAAAGAAAAAGAAAAAAGCGAAAAGAAGAGAAGAGAAAAGAAAGGAAAATAAGAAAAATATGAAAATGGATTTGGAAGATACGGATTAACAATAAAATTATTTTTTTAGAAGCATTTGCGGTGAACGATTCCAGGGCCAGATTCATCGTATTCCTGTTTCGAAATCCACATTTGTTGGAAGGTAGATAGGGAAGCAAGGATGGAACCACCGATCCATACGGAGTATTTCCTCTCAGGAGGTGCAATGATCTTGATCTTAATGGTCGAGGGTGCGAGAGCAGTGATTTCCTTTTGCATACGATCGGCGATACCGGGATACATGGTGGTACCACCGGATAGTACAGTGTTGGCGTAGAGATCCTTACGGATATCGACATCGCACTTCATGATGGAATTGTAGACGGTCTCGTGAATACCACAGGATTCCATACCCAAGAAGGAAGGTTGGAATAGTGCTTCTGGGCAACGGAACCTCTCGTTACCGATCGTAATGACCTGTCCGTCGGGCAACTCGTAGCTCTTCTCGAGGGAAGTACTGGCTGCTGCGGTGGCCATTTCTTGTTCAAAGTCCAAAGCAACATAGCAAAGCTTTTCCTTGATATCACGAACGATTTCTCGTTCAGCCGTGGTTGTGAAGGAGTAGCCTCTTTCAGTCAAGATCTTCATGAGATAGTCGGTCAAATCACGACCGGCCAAATCCAAACGTAGGATAGCATGAGGAAGAGCATAACCTTCGTAGATAGGTACGGTGTGAGATACACCATCGCCAGAATCCAATACAATACCCGTGGTACGACCGGAGGCGTACAGGGACAGAACAGCTTGGATGGCAACATACATAGCTGGACTGTTGAAGGTTTCGAACATAATTTGTGTCATCTTTTCGCGATTAGCCTTAGGGTTGAGTGGAGCTTCAGTGAGAAGAACGGGATGTTCTTCCGGAGCGACACGAAGTTCATTATAAAAGGTATGATGCCAAATCTTTTCCATGTCATCCCAATTGGTGATAATACCGTGTTCTATAGGATATTTTAGCGTAAGAATACCCCTTTTACTTTGTGCCTCGTCGCCCACGTAGCTGTCTTTTTGACCCATACCGACCATCACACCCTGTGGTTATAAAAACAATTTTTTTATCGGTCGATTCGTTTTTTCTTCAAAATATTAAATTTAATTTATGAAGAAACTGTACCTGATGACGTGGTCTTCCTACAATACTAGGGAAGACAGCTCGCGGTGCATCGTCTCCAGCGAATCCGGCCTTGCACATGCCTGAACCATTGTCCACAACGAGCGCCGCAACATCATCATCACACATCTTGAAGGGTTGTTAGAAACGGTTCTTTCTGCAAATAAATGAATGAAATTAATAGTTTCTTGTTTTTCCTGTTTGCATTCAATTATAACTATCATTTCGATCTAATAGGAAAGTTTGGTGGGTAGTTGTTCATTTCATTTAGTGAAAACAATATGACCAGTTCATATCGACTGTAGACACTCTTTATAAAAATATTAGAAACAATGTATCAATATATGTTAACGAATCATTAAACGATTATATGTATTTTCACAGGTAGATACTATCTAAAACAAAATTTCCGAATAGTATGCATGGCATGTATCATGTTATCCTTATATTTCATCACGTACCACCATGCAACATTTATCAAACGTTTACACTTGACACAAATTTCAAAGTGTATATAAAACTAAGCGATTGGTTAGTACTATCCGATAGCCCGATACACTTTATCGCAATCACGATAATCACAAAATTGACTATTTACGTAATTCAGTTGAAAGAAAAAATAAAAAGTAATAGAAGTAGTAAGCGTAGTAAGAAGGAAATGATAATGAGAAAAAGAATCTAAGGACTAGGAACAAGAAGATACGTTGAATAAAGGAAAGTAAAAAGACAAGCGCAAGGGTTGCGTCCTCCGCAATGAGATTTACCGTTCAAAACTGGATGATCGAATAGATCGAATAGGCGACGATCTCTTAGAGACGAACGTCGTGCAAGAAACCGAAAGCGACGAGTGGCGCACCGCCTGCTCTGTGGGGTACCTTTATCCATATCGGTTCGCAGCCGAAAATAGCGATCCGCCCCTTAGATGGAAATCTGCTGTACGTTAACGCGCGCATCGTCGTCTGCCGCCGACGTTGCTGCCGCCACCGCTGCCACCACCGCCGCCGTCACCTAGTCCTTAGTCGCCCTAAGAGCGACGTCAAGAGGGAGACGCCGACGACGTGCTATTCCCGACGGTTCCCGAATCCAAATAAGGACTCGTTACACCGCAGGGCCGTCCTCCTCGGGTGCTTTTCACCTAAACGAAGGTACCAAGAGACAGACGGTCGCTCGGTATGCCTCCAGTTTATGCTGTCCTTTCTTTTTCTTCTTCTTCTTCTTACTGCATTAATCTTCTCTTTTCTCTCCTGTTATCCTCTTTTTACTTCATTATTTCTTTATTCTGAAAAGTACTGCTTCTGTAAAAGAAAAGAAAAAGACGTAATGAGCAATGAGTAGCCTAGATCGGGTAGGCAACGTTGTGAGATCCTGTAAGTCCTTTTAACTTCATTGAGATAAAACATCATTTTTTTTCTACGTAGCTGTATAGATCGTATGCGAATAAATCTCGGTCGTTTTATATTTATATGATTTATATGATTTATATGATTTATCATAGAAATATTAGTTACTATACACTATCGTACAATAGTCGAACGAAGATGATCTAAAAAGATAATTTGTAGAACATATTTCGAATGATCGTTTTAATATGGATTAGAAATAATAATTTTTTATTTGGTGCCATTTAAAATGTACCGGGCGACGAGAAGTACTCGATCCACCATCGAACCCTCTCCCACTTTACCTTACTGTGCTACCGTCGATGTTGGCCGTCGATGTTGGCCGTCGATTCGACGGACGACAGATTCGCGGACTTCGCATTACTGATTGTGGCTTTCAATCTCGAAAGGACGCGTCTTTGTTAGTTGCTAATATTTTTTTAATAGTGCTTCTTTTGCATACTTTACGGTGATTCATTTAAAGAAAATTATTATGAAGAAATGAGTGCAATTCTATCTTTCACCGTATACGAGCAAGTATATGAGGGTGAATGCTTTCTTACATTAAACTTCAATAATTTACGCGGATAATTAACGATAGCTAACGATAGTTAACGATTACTTATATCCCGTTAATGATATCAATAATCGATGGTAAGGCGTATATGTGAAATAATCATTTTTTGTGTTTTCGATTTCGTTAGATAAAAAGTATTTGTGAAAGAGATAAAAGTTGGAATAATTTCTTGTTATATATGTTATATTGTATTTACTACTTCACTAGTCATACATGCAAAGTGTTTATTCAAATTTAAAATGGCATTGATGCAATTTTCATTTATATAAATCTTAATTTATACAAATCCGGTATATTATGTTCAAAATCCAAATCAAGCAATCCTTCTAATTGAAAATGAAATTTTCAGATTCGACGATAAGTATAGGCGATCAATGCAGTCGAATGTTACTCTCTTCATTGAACATGCATATATCTACTAACATGTTACCTGGATTTTTATTTCCGCTGGGTATTGGATGATGGATCGTTGTTAGCCACATCAGTGAAAAACATGGGGCATCATTAAGGACGTGGTAATTTTTCAAAAATCATTATTGACTCATTGCCCAGTGCACAAAGATGTATATGCATGATCACTAGATTGAATTCTCCTTTGTGTAGACGGCCAATTATTTTCTCTTCCTTTTAAGTTATCTGTATAAATATGCAGAATTAGTTGGATGTAGAGAGGAAATGTTGTTAATTATACCTATACTAGACTATTTTCAATAAATCCGTTTAATACACGGTCCCTGCAACCAAACATTATATCCATTTACCTTATATCCGAATTTCAAAGACAAACTAATATTCCATGAATAATCATTTTCTTTAATCGTTGTCGTCCATGCATTCTTCTAATGCATAAAAGGGCTAAAAACCAACATATGACAATGGAAAATGTACAATATAAGTATAAGGGCAAATTATCCCAGAAATGATTGCACGGAATTTGTAACTTTCCAGAATATACGATTCTAAATTTTTGCATAATCAAAGTAGTTAGAAAAATTAAAATGATTAAGATAATACAACAAGATTCTTCGAGAGAAATCGTATATATATATTTCGTAAATATACCGTATAAAAAACGCTATATTAAAGTTAAATATGTTTATCTAGTTGTTAATTTAGATTTCATTTCGTAAATCAATCGTAATTGCAAGTATTAAAAGATTGCGAATAAATTCGATTTTATTCCAACGTTATAATTCCAAAATATTATCAAAAAATTAAGTTTAATGATAACGTAAATAAAATTCCGAATGTGATATATGCATATAAAGGGTAACAAATGAAAGATTACTAATTACACCGCTGTGAAAATATAAGTTTCATTTATTCCATTGAGATAGAGATGTAGATCCATATAAATACATATATATATGTACATATACACACATATCTAAATATGTGTGTATATATCTATATATATATATATATATACACACACACATAAAAGATGACGATTAAATTCAATTAATGGCAAAAAGAATACTGATCGCTACTGCTAATAAGGTAGTCGCTTTGGCCGTAGCTAAAAATTACCAACAGTGAAATAAAAATAATTGACATGTAACTAGATGAAATAGTAAGGAATAATTAGGTGTGTCTGCGTAAATAATATAGCAATAACAATCGTTTTTAAGAATATAATTGCTTAGAAGCACTTGCGGTGAACGATGCCAGGGCCAGACTCGTCGTACTCCTGTTTCGAAATCCACATCTGTTGGAAGGTAGATAGGGAAGCAAGGATGGAACCACCGATCCATACGGAGTATTTCCTCTCGGGAGGTGCAATGATCTTGATTTTGATGGTCGAGGGTGCGAGAGCAGTGATTTCCTTCTGCATACGATCAGCGATACCAGGATACATGGTAGTACCACCGGACAAGACGTTGTTGGCGTAGAGATCCTTACGGATGTCGACGTCGCACTTCATGATGGAATTGTAGACGGTCTCGTGAATACCACAGGATTCCATACCCAAGAAGGAAGGTTGAAATAGTGCTTCTGGGCAACGGAACCTCTCGTTACCGATCGTAATGACCTGTCCGTCGGGCAACTCGTAGCTCTTCTCGAGGGAAGTACTGGCTGCTGCGGTGGCCATTTCTTGTTCAAAGTCCAAAGCAACATAGCAAAGCTTTTCCTTGATATCACGAACGATTTCTCGTTCAGCCGTGGTTGTGAAGGAGTAGCCTCTTTCAGTCAAGATCTTCATGAGATAGTCGGTCAAATCACGACCGGCCAAATCCAAACGTAGGATAGCATGAGGAAGAGCATAACCTTCGTAGATAGGTACGGTGTGAGATACACCATCGCCAGAATCCAATACAATACCCGTGGTACGACCGGAGGCGTACAGGGACAGAACAGCTTGGATGGCAACATACATAGCTGGACTGTTGAAGGTTTCGAACATAATTTGTGTCATCTTTTCGCGATTAGCCTTAGGGTTGAGTGGAGCTTCAGTGAGAAGAACGGGATGTTCTTCCGGAGCGACACGAAGTTCATTATAAAAGGTGTGATGCCAGATCTTTTCCATGTCATCCCAGTTGGTGATAATACCGTGTTCGATTGGATATTTGAGTGTAAGAATACCCCTTTTGCTTTGCGCTTCATCGCCTACGTAGCTGTCTTTCTGACCCATACCGACCATCACACCCTGGTGACGAGGTCGGCCGACGATCGAGGGGAATACAGCACGAGGTGCATCGTCTCCTGCAAATCCGGCCTTGCACATACCGGATCCATTGTCTACGACAAGGGCAGCTACTTCGTCGTCACACATTGTGTTTCTTGTTTCGTTTTAATGATCTGTAAAAAAAAAATTATCACCTTCCGTTGATTAACTCTTCCTCGACAAAGAAACTCATTTGTCGTTACTTCATTATGCGAAATGTTTTAGTTAAAGTCTTTTACGGGCATTTTTTGCTTCTAGGTATTGTTTGATTATATTTTCTAATATGTCTTTAAGATTGTGCGGTGGTATTGTAGCTTAAAAAAATATCTTAATAACGTTTTCAGAAATCATCTCTAGCCAGGATTGACCCAGTTGCCTATAAAACGATAGGCGAGCGGCTACAGCGTCGCTAAGTTATTTCCGTACGGCAGATAGCTAAGTTTAGATGGACGACCAACGGACGCTCCCTAATAAGTTCAAGCAATGTTTATAGTAACCGACGTCGCCCCGGCTAGGCCGTTAAGTGAAAAAGCATAGCTCATATGCCTGTTCGTGCCAAAATTACGCTGTGCTTTGAGCGTATGCTAGCGTCCGTATATTAGCGTATGCGGACAAAGACCTCGAATATGTTGAAGTTATTATACGTACGCTATTATATGAATTAATTGCAATCTTAGAAAGTAATTCGTAGTAAAAAATGAAAGAATTACAGGTAGTATTTTAGCCGAAGATTAGTAAAAAATTTTATTATTTCAATTAATAACTCTTTTCTCTCTATCCTTTCAAAAATCTGTTATTAAATTAATATTATTTCCAGATATAGATATTATTTAGAATGAAAAAAGAAATCCGAAAATGTTAAATTACCGCGCTGATTCAATTTCAAAGTGTTTTATCAAATGCCAAAAACGACCTGATTCTTTCTTCACCTTGATAAAATGCCAAAGAATTAGTCTCCATCGAGATCATGTTGTTTGGCCTAAGTCGAGCCGATCGTTCGATTCTACCTTGAACTTAACTTTCGTTTCTATTAGTTTCGTTAAAATCTGTTTCGTATTAAGAAGCACGGAGGAGAGATCGTTGAACCGTATACATTCAATAATTATACAAATTAATATAATATTAAAGATAAATGATCGAAGTAATATTATTATAAGTTATGTTTGGACTTGGTACCGTTTAGTATATACATACGTACCGTGCACGAGACAGAGTTGAAGTGGCGTCTGTGCCTTTGGGCGCCGCGGCGTCGAATATATGCTCTCGTCAGTACACCCCCGCATTTTCGTGGAATGGCGAATGCTCGACAGGCACGAAAAAGGCTCGCCTCGCGGGCGTCGCGACGCTCGCCGAACTAGGCGGTTGCGAGATCTAAGTAAGAGATCAATGTATAGCTTCCAAAACTTCTACATCAACATACATTCCTCTTATGAACAATCTTTACGTAGTTAATCTTTTATTCTTTTCATCCTTTTTTATAACGCATCCAATCGATTCAAAATCCTTCAATACTTGTCCCTATCGAACATTCGATACTAAACTAAACCAATTTAGATTTGTCCTCTTGAACTTAAATGATATTTAATGGATTTCATTAAATTACATGTATTATGGAAAAATGTTATTTTTCTTTTTTGATAATAACGTCTTCTTTTCTCTCTATCTCTGTGTCTCAAAAACAATCGATTGTTTGCTTTTATATAAATTTTCAAATATCGCGTATATACATATGTATTACGTAAAGTGATTCATATTTGTATTTTTATCTAAGCTCTGGTGAAACAACTTTCCTTTTGTATAAAATAAGCAAATGAATACTTGTTGTGTAGCTGATCACGTTAGAATTTACGTAGAAAAGAGTAAAGAATAGCGAATAAATAATTAACAATTTAGAATTCAATTTTCAAAAATTTCTGAACGTTAATTGATCGCAGATAAAAATTTATAAAAATAATCTTTATTTTATAATTACGTTTATTTAATATCATTATAGAGTAGAATAGCATTCAGCAGTAGACATATCATTTCCACGCATGCATGATCCATATGCAACTTTATTTCCCTATACTATTATACGCGTGTATATTTTTATTATATATATTACTATATATAAAGTATATAAAACGAATAATCACTAATACATGCATATCTGATATAGGCGTTTAGATGGCGATCGATGAAATTCATAAATATCATGAGAAGCTACTGGAGAATCGATGTGAGTGACTGTTGGTAAAAATAGCTCCCTCGTACCTAATTTGGATGGGAGAGCCAAGTTTTGATAAAAGCTACCCCGTGCGGCGAGGCAGCTTTTTTTGGACGTTTGCTTCGCAATCACCCAGATATGCTTTTACTCGAGAGCATGAGTATCAATTTTGGTGAAAAAGTGGTTTCAACAATTATTATGAAAATGTATAAATGAGAAATATATTGTTGCGTATTTAAATTTGATTTAACTTTCTCATAAATTTCTAGTCAAAAATCACGACTGGATTGGATATTTAAAATTATAGAGGAACAATTTAATTCTGAACTTAAAATCTATATATTACATAATGCGCGTATCTCAAAATCAAGAGAACATTTAGCTGATTACATAGAAATAAAGTAAAGTTTTAAAAGTAAACTTCCAGATTTGTTAAATCAAATAAAAGAAAACACTCTTGAAACGCGTCTCAAAATTCTATTAGGGTCTACAGGATTTATACAAGGAAAGGATAATAAAGTGTTTCAGTATATTAAATCATATTTATAATGTCGTGTGAAATGTATATTTAAATTTATATTTGATATTGCATGTCAATTGTGTATAACAATGCAACGACGATTTAGTATATAATATTTACAAAGTAAATTAGAATAAGATCAGATATGTTGGCCTCGTTAACAACCCAGACAGAATGTACTTAATTGTACGATTACAGAGAATATCTTTTACATTAAGACAGCGAGTGATCTTAATTGTAACGTAATAATCGATCAACTCGTACGCGTGACTTCTTCCAAAGTTCATGTTAACGCAATGATTATTATTGTAAATCATTGATTACATAGACATTCTTTGGAATAAAACTCATTTCGACTTTTTTCTTGTTGCAAAAAGTTACAAAATTACAATAGATTGAATAGATTGTATCGCTATTTAAAAAAGAAATCTCAAGTAAATGTATAATTTTATAAGAACAAGTCGAATGCTAATAATTTTCTTGATGATTTGTTTTTGTAGCAGCACAACAGTTCGCATAAATTTGATCTTCTTTCTCAAGAATATTCTTACACGCAACCCAGATGTTAACTCTTCAAGATCTGTGTCGCATTTCTGACACTGTTCAATCATGAATTTAGAAGCACTTGCGGTGGACAATACCAGGGCCAGACTCGTCGTACTCCTGTTTCGAAATCCACATCTGTTGGAAGGTAGATAGGGAAGCAAGGATGGAACCACCGATCCATACGGAGTATTTCCTCTCGGGAGGTGCAATGATCTTGATTTTGATGGTCGAGGGTGCGAGAGCAGTGATTTCCTTCTGCATACGATCAGCGATACCAGGATACATGGTAGTACCACCGGACAAGACGTTGTTGGCGTAGAGATCCTTACGGATGTCGACGTCGCACTTCATGATGGAATTGTAGACGGTCTCGTGAATACCACAGGATTCCATACCCAAGAAGGAAGGTTGAAATAGTGCTTCTGGGCAACGGAACCTCTCGTTACCGATCGTAATGACCTGTCCGTCGGGCAACTCGTAGCTCTTCTCGAGGGAAGTACTGGCTGCTGCGGTGGCCATTTCTTGTTCAAAGTCCAAAGCAACATAGCAAAGCTTTTCCTTGATATCACGAACGATTTCTCGTTCAGCCGTGGTTGTGAAGGAGTAGCCTCTTTCAGTCAAGATCTTCATGAGATAGTCGGTCAAATCACGACCGGCCAAATCCAAACGTAGGATAGCATGAGGAAGAGCATAACCTTCGTAGATAGGTACGGTGTGAGATACACCATCGCCAGAATCCAATACAATACCCGTGGTACGACCGGAGGCGTACAGGGACAGAACAGCTTGGATGGCAACATACATAGCTGGACTGTTGAAGGTTTCGAACATAATTTGTGTCATCTTTTCGCGATTAGCCTTAGGGTTGAGTGGAGCTTCAGTGAGAAGAACGGGATGTTCTTCCGGAGCGACACGAAGTTCATTATAAAAGGTGTGATGCCAGATCTTTTCCATGTCATCCCAGTTGGTGATAATACCGTGTTCGATTGGATATTTGAGTGTAAGAATACCCCTTTTGCTTTGCGCTTCATCGCCTACGTAGCTGTCTTTCTGACCCATACCGACCATCACACCCTGGTGACGAGGTCGGCCGACGATCGAGGGGAATACAGCACGAGGTGCATCGTCTCCTGCAAATCCGGCCTTGCACATACCGGATCCATTGTCTACGACAAGGGCAGCTACTTCGTCGTCACACATTGTGCTATCTTCTTATTTCTGAAAGGAAAATATTCTTAATTAGAGATATATTTGATATTTGTTTCGGATATTATACTTAGGAATCTTATGTTTCTCGTAAGGAGAACGCACCGATATTACGGACAAACTAAGAGCAGTATAATGTACCAACCGCGAGGGTGAGTTGTGGATCAGTATGTAGCTACGGAGCGGCTGAGGCTCGCAGGCGCAGCGAAGCCAGATATAAAGCTCGCGTATCGTACGCGACGCTACCGAAGATGGGCACGAGGGACGTCTCCAGGGCTGCCCAATAGATCTGCCCACGCATAATGGGAAACTTACGCAGTGCTTCGACCGGGACAACGCGTAACCAGGAAACCTTTCAAAGTTAAATATTCAAACATCGGGAATATCATTGGGTGCTTGAGGGTGGACCGTCGTGTCTTTTGGACATCCCTGACTACTCGAGAAATATGCGTCAATCCCCACTGACGCTTTTCTTCTGTTTTCTTCATCTTCTTCCACTTCTCTTCTCATCATCCCTTTTATTTTAACTTCCCTCCTTATCTCAATCGTTTACTTTCCTCAACCCAACGATACATCCAAATTTGGCTATGGAAAAGCAGTTAATACTTTACCTAATTTTCCATGCAAAATTATCAACTTCTAATTGAATTTTCTTCTTCATTTTAAGGTAATATCATATTATATACTTTTTTAATACTATCTTCAGCGTTTAATTATAATACTTTTTCATTCTAACGCTGCTATTTTTACGTCATTTTTATTATAGAATATTATATTTATTTTTAATATATCGTCAAGATCTCATTTTCCTTTATGTAGAAAAGATATTATGAGAAAGATTATTTAAAAAGTTACATTTATCAATTTAGATTACTCAATGAAAACTTAACTGTAGAAAACAGTTACAAGTTTTTACTGTATTAATTTTTTATCATAATATTATATAAATAATATTAACATACTAACATACTCTAACTCATAATTATTGATTTCCATTTTTTAGCATTATTCTGCGTTTATTTTGTAACAATAAATGCAATTTCATACAATTGTATTAAATGACAATGTTTTCCATTTGTAGTTATTTATTTATAATTATTCCCTATACATATTAGAAAGTATACATTTATTTATTATATATATTTTCTGTTTACATTTATAAGTCATACTGTAGGTAAGTATACAGCTTCTCTATTTAATTCTTTGCGATTTTTTTTCGCTTTATCGTCAAATAATTAATAACATAAGAATATTAATATTAATATTTGTATTTTCTGGTTAACTCAAATTCGATCAGTAAATGCTACAACTTATGGATATAAAGTATAGGATATAAAGCAGAAGAAAAAAAAAATATATATATATATACACATGTATGTTATAAATTTAGTATACCTTATATTATCTAAGCGGATCACGTTATTTTAATCACAAAGAGATTTCAAGAAATTTTAAGAAAATTGAAATATTTTCTGCAGTTACATAATATCATATTGTATTATTTTGATAGAATAAAAAATCGCCACTTCTAATTTCTTGTAGCATCATTTCTTCCTTCATTGATATTTAATTAAACATATTTTTTAGTTTATTTTTTTTCCACTAGTTAAATGTGCATTATTATTAGCTAAATTTAGCTTGAACACATTTACATCAATGCATTTTGTTTAAACATCCTCATTTGAAATATTACTCAGACATAATATAATTGTAACATAACCTGCAGATAGAAAGATAAAAGATAAGAATGAGAGTAAATTACACGTAGCATTGTAAAGAAATAAGGAAGAAAATATAGTTATAATTGGTCATTCTTTATAAAAAAAAAAAATTATACAGTTTTACAGGAGATATATTTGAATGGGACATGTGGCGCAATCTTAACGATATTTTCTAAACCAAAAGTCATATATATATAAGTACTATTAATAATGGTTACAAACAATTATTAATAAATTAACAAATTAATAAATAAATATTGAAATAAGAAAAAATTGATGATAAAGAGCAGGTATTAGAATGACTTTTGGAGAAATAATTTGAATTTTGAAAAAAAAAGTTTTACATTTATTCTACAATTACCATGAATACAGTGTGTTTCCATGAAAGTTCGATCAAGTGAATGGGGGCGACACTAAAGCATCTATAGGAGATGTTAACTAGAGTAAATGTAGATATATCTTGTATACCATTTGTCACCCTTGATTTTTTCTGAGAACGTCATCGTCCAAAAATATTGAACTACGTAAGAGAAAGATAATAAAATCGAGTGAAACTTTATTAATCTGCAGAGTTTTTTTAAGCGGCAATTGTTGAGGAGAATAAGAATAAAGTTATTAAATACAATGGATAAAACAAAAATCGATAGTAATTTCGAATTGGCACCTCTTCGGAGTTTAGATGATTTTTTGTTAAAATCAGCTCGTTTTCAAATACCAAATTTTAAAGATTTTGATAAATGGGGCAACAGAGTCGTCAATAACATGCTTTATTATCAAACAAATTACTTGTTCATGGCTGTGGTTATTTTTCTCATCGTAGGGTAAGTTCAAAGATACATTTCTTTTTGTAGAATATAATCTGCGTATATGTATATGGATACGAATATGTGCACATAGGTAAGCCATATGCATATGCATATTCACTTATAATAACCGTTACAATTAATGTTATAATATAATATTGTTAACATTGTTTTCACAGATTAATTCATCCTGTCAAAATGTTCGTTGGAATGGTAGCAATGGTAATAATTGTAGGAGGTTTCGCTTATGTATCAACGGAGGGAAGATTGATACATCAATTTAAACAACAATATCCAGGTGTAGGTATAATTGGAATAATATTGGTAGCAGGTTTTGCTACTTACACCTTAGGATCCCTCTTAGTTTTTTTACTTGGCATTTTGCTACCATTTTCAGGTAAGTTTAATCATTTCGATAACTTCTGTAATATTGTGAATAATAATTTATTAATCATTTATTACAGTTATATTTATACATGCTTCTTTGAGATCGAGAAATACAAAAAACAAAATTGTTAATAAAATTGAAGGCATCGGCTTGACACGAACACCAATGGGTATTTTTTTGGAACATCTTGGTATGCAAAATGAAATTTTTGCATAATTTCAACATATTTTTATAGTATAACATTTCTTTTTAAACGATAATAAGTTAATATGATCTAATAATAACAGTTTTGCAAAAGTATTAATATATATTAATATATATATATATAATTGATATTATCTTACACTGTGATGAATCTTATTGCTTCAAATGGATTTATTTTTTTGTAATATCTATGATTATAGTTATATACAGAGACATTAGATATATTTCTTATGTACTTATTTTATTATTCATTTTGTCTATTTATATAGACTAAACATACAAAAGATCTATTCAAATTCTTTATATTTTATATATAAGATGATTATACGATTAAGATACGTATAATTTATTTATTGTAATCTATGTATTTCATGAATTACGTCACATGATATGGAGAATTAATTTTATTTAATGTTAACAATATATATATATATATATTGTTAACTGTATAAGTATGTAAGATATTCTCACATGTTATATACCAAAGACGGAGAAAAATGCAAATTATATATTTAATCGGTAAATAGAAAAATATGCAATCTAATACCGAGACACTAATAATGCATATTTTTTATTAGATTTTTTTTCATCTATTTCGCTTGTATATAATATTCTATTTGTGTTATTTGTAAAACTGTATATTTACTATTATTAATATATTACACATATAGTAAACCAAGAATTCTAAGGATAGAAAAACATTATCTTGCTTAGTATTGTATAATTTATGAAAGACTATTATTTTTTTTCAGTATATATTTCTTTATTTGATATTATATGTATCATAGAATAATAATGTAAATAAAATTGTAGCAGAGCTTTCTCTTCTTCAAGGCTTAGTGTCTATATTTTAATATATATATATATTGTTATTTAAAATGTAGTACATATATTTTATAATATTTATCCCAAAATTGTTCTTACAAGATAAACATTTCTAATGAATCATTTGCAAATATATCTATTATGCTACATAGTTCTTGTACATTTTACTAATGAAAATTATTATTTTCTTTAACGTTTTTCAATGAAATTGAATTATTTTTAATTTTGCCATCAAATTTATTTTATATATATATATATATATATATATATATATATCTAATCTTTCATTATTTTTCATTGATTGTTTTAAACAGATGTGAAGAGTGCGACGTTACGTTACCAAAAGTATTTTAATAAACTACACGATTAACAACCAGCTTTCAAATATGCAATTGTACTATATTTAATGGCTTCCATTAATGGTCATCCATAAGAATCATTACTTTCCATGGAAAACAGGCTCTTCATATAATATTAATTATATTTTATTACCCTGTAATTTATACAATCACATAATTTGAATATTCTTTTTTTTATACAAAAATGAAGTCCATAAATAAAATTTTGTCATTTATGCAAAAAAAAAAAATAGACATTAACATATATCTATATATAGATATATATACGATTGATACATATTAAATGATAGATATTAAAATATATTTACAAATAAAATTAATAAATTCATAAATATAAAATATAATTTTATCAATATAACCACAAAACTTCCTTGTAAATTGAATTATAGGCTACACCTTTACCGTATTCGTAAATTAAATAAAATTAATGTATAGTATTAATGACTAAAATTAAGTCAAATGTCCTTAAAGTACGGATGAAATCAAAGAATTCCCATCGAGATTTCTTTCCCGATCTTCTTCATATTGATAACCTATAGCCTGGAAACGTCTTTCAGTTTAGGACGACTTAAGCTCGAAAAAATAGTATAAAAAGAAACTTAAAGTGTTTTAATTGAGTCTTATTCTACAGTATCTTTTAAATATACAAAATGCAGAGTATACGATTTATAATCGTAATAAATTTTGCTTGATATTACAATTGGATTGACTAATATTTTGGAAGAAATATTTATATATTGTAAGGCACTTCATATGACTTTTTTTTTTTTTTTTATGCAAATGATGTGGATATTTGTTAACGTGACCACATATAAAAATACATCTGTTGCCAGTGTGGTAAATATTTTTGTATCGGTTCTGTTAAAAGTTTAGCCAAAGGCACTTTTCTAGATAATATGTTTAACATTGCTATTATTTTAAGACGACTGTAATTATCATAAAAAGGGGAACGTAAAATATATAACAGTATACTTAATTTTCTTTGATAAATTTCATTCCATTCTTCTGTATTAAGCGCAACTGCTTGTCCATAATGATTAAATAACTGTAAACTAAAAAATATTATTTATTAGTTTGAATTTTTTTCTTCTTTCGTATAAATATTTTGGAATAATAATAAAAAATTCTTTGCTACCTAAATAAATCAATAATTAAAGACAAAAACCATGGTTGCCAATTCATTTTTCCAGTTGCAGATAAACAACAAAGATGAAACAATGGTTTTACTATATAAAGAGTCTGAAAAGAAAAAAGAAAGGGAAAAAAGGAAGAAATTATCAAATATAATAAGGAAACATATGTGTGACAATAAGAAACATTAAATATATTGTAATTTAAACAAACCTCTGCCAACGTTAACATTCGTTTAGATATAAAAGCATTATCAACGTTTTCGTTTTCATCTTTCATGGACGATATTGGTGTCCAAATTCTTGTTTCTATAGATCTAGAAGTTTTAATACTCCTGACTACAATACCACTTCGTTTCAATTGAAATCCTTCTTTCATTTTAATATCTTTGTCGTATGTTTGGTTTATTTTCTTCTTATTAAGCGGCTTAATGGAAGGACTTTCAATTACGTTTTCTTTGTAAACATGTATCAAATACAATCTCATTACAGCTCTATAAACGAAGAAAAAAGATTTTAAATAAGAACTTTTAACATTCAATGGCAATATATTTGATTGTAATAAAATATATAACGAGAGGCTTACTTAAATATTTGTATAAACACAATAATAAGCCATTTTCCAGATTTTCCCCAAATTCTATGGGCAGATACCTCGAATAAAGCTTCCGTATACTCTAACACAGTTAACCAGATTTTTATTTTTAATTGCAACTCTGGTATCTTCGAATTCATATATTTACCACTGGATATCAATAAATCATTAAACAATTCAATTAAATTTGGTATGGAATAAATAAGTTCAGATGCTAACGTAGAATTGTTATATCGACCTATAAGAGAAGATTTGTTAGAAAATAGAAATATCCTAAGAAGAAGGAGAAATAAAAATAGACAAATTTAATACCGGCTGTAAAGTAAGAAAAAAATCTTACTGTACTCTCCAAGTCAGCCAGTAATTGTGGATTACATTGCACCCAATGTTTATAAGATAGAATCAATTTAGAAAATCTTGAATTGATGGCATTCATGATTGATTAGACTGATTAGATTGATTAGAATGATTGGTTTAATTAGAAGTTATCTTTTAATAACTAATCAAGTTATTGTTTATTCAAAAATAAATAAACCTTTTGTGTATATATATATGTATATGTATCTTCATGAATGATCAAATGAAAATTTCGCTCTATATTTTGTTCCTAATTGAACTTTAATATTTACGATCAACTTGACAACCCAAGTGACTGACAAGATGACTGTCCAATAATTTATCTTTCTAAATTGGACGACAAACATTGACAAATAAACTGAAAGATGTAATCAACCATCTTACCAACCTAGAATTACACGATATACATCGATGCATCGAAAACTTGATGCATCGAAAAAAACATCGATGTATGTTTTAAATGAACATCCCTATACCGACCTATTGACCAAATTGCAAATTAGTATTACCAACTAGAGAAGGGGAATTTAAACAATCATTGGTCTATTTTTGGACTGTTATGACCGATTATGGGGGTAAAGATAAGGAGTAACATCTCTTATGGGAGAAAATGTGAAAAAGTGTCCAGCKTTTTCTATAAATAATAGTTCAAAAACCTTCCAGAATGGCGCTGGTGTAGACAGAAGGTATGGTATGAATGTAGCAATCGTGGTAGCAATTGTAAATGAATTGAAGTATGCCGAGTTATGCAATAATGAGTAAATATAATCTTAAAGAATTATCATGAGAAAACGTGTAGCTAGAGTGATTTTATTTC